CTGCGGGCACAGCAGCGCTGATGACCTAGTGATACAGCCGCGTGTGTGCAGTCGGGCCCTTGTCCAGTGTTTGAGGGACGTATTTTTTTTCTGTACGCTGTCAGCAGAGCACTCTGGTATGTTAGAAAAACGGACCCTTCCAGATATGAGACACATGAATTCTTTCTTCCTAAAGCCGCGTTTTCTCTGTGGTGGACTGTTGTGGCCAGGAGCCTGGTCCCCGCTGCCCCGAGGCGCCGTAAGGTCGTAACTGGGAAGCAGGGACGCCTGCTTCCTGGCACCCGGGTGACGTTGGCACTGCAGCTGCAGAGGCTGGCGGGTGGCCTGCAAACCGGAACTGCTTCCCTCCGCCTCCACCGGGAGAGGAAAACCAACCGCGTGGCCTCCAAAGTACAAAACCAACTCGGGGGGTGGGGGGCAGGGGGGAGATGAACTGTGGGCAGGGCAGAAGGCAGCACATGTGTCAGAGGTCTCTGTTTGGCTCACTGGTGAGAGCCATGTTGGACCCGTGTTGCAGACAGTTTGATGTGACCACATCAAAAAAAAAAAAAGAAAACTTCTTTTTGATGGCTCTAATTAACATAGTCAACATAAAGAAGCTTTCAGCTGTTGAGTTTGGTTTTTGTTTTAGTTTTGGGCCACACCTGGTGGTACTCAGGGTCTGTGCTCAGGGATCACTCCTGGTGGCCCCAGGGGACCATGTGTGGTTCTGGGGCTGGAGTCTGGGCTGGCCTCAGGCAAGGCAGGCATCTCTCTCGCACTGTCTCTGTCCTCATCTGCGGAGAATTAGTGGAAAGTACCGTCAGGTCACTGCAGCCTCCTGCACGGCCTCCGCTCGGATGCTTGCTGGGTCTGGCGCTGCCCGGGACTGCTCTGCTGGATTGGAATTGGGGGGAGGGGGGTGACCGGGGTCGTGTGGAAGTGAACGGGACAATTGGTCTTTTCTGTTGTCCGCTGCTTGGGACCTTTTTCTTGGTGGGATTGTTTAACTGCACTTTGTTACACTCAGATTTAAGATTATTCCAAATATTCCTTCTACATTTATATTCCTGCATTCCGTGAATTTCTACTTACATTTTTGTTCACGTTGGAAAATTCTCAAACCTGACTAGTTAAAAAAAAAAGCCTTCAAATGTATCACATTTCAGGATAACAGATAGAAATCCATTTCGGGGAAAAATATTTTTGGAGAACATACCAGTTTTTGCTGACAGTGAGACTTTTTGCATAACAGAAATTAAATTTCCAGCCATTCCCAGCAGACCTTTTCCTTCCCAGACATCAGAAAGTAGGCACCGAGACGTCTGCTGGGGAGGTCTTCCCCCGAACAGCTGTGGGCAGCTGTGTCTGCATGATGTTCTTGGCTTGATTACGAAACACATTGTTTTATTTCCTTCTTCGGGACGTTTAGAAGCAGATGATCACAGGTAATGGGGCGACCGTCCCCTTGGGCAGCTCTCCCGGACTTGCCCCTGTCCCGGACTTGAGGCTGCAGAGGTGAAATGTGCTGAGTTGCACATCGCTGCCTGAGAAGTCTCAGCCAGAAGTTAGGCAGAGGGAGGCCAGAACTTAGGCGGAGAGAGGCTCAGGACCCAGAAGGTCCTTCATAGGCTCCGGGGGCTGCACCTATCAGGACAAATTTTTTTTTCCTTTTTGGGTCACAGCCCGTGATGCTCAGGGGTTCTTCCTGGCTCTGCACTCAGGGGTTCTTCCTGGCTCTGCACTCAGGAATTACGCCTGGAGGTGCTTGGGGGAGATGCTGGGGATTGAACTCGGGTTGGCTGTGTGCAAGGCAAACGCCCTCCCCGCTGGACTATAACTCCAGCCCCCCAGGACGAAATTTTATAGGGGTGGTTTGATTCTGTATTTGATTCAGAATAACGACTGAGCACGCCACAGGTGGGTCTGTGACTTTTGAAATCCCAGAGGAATTTGAACTGCAACTACTCACGCCTGAACCGCTTTGAATAAAGGCAAATCCTCCTGCAGACATGAGTGGCCGTCAGTCAGGCGCTGAGCAATTATTACGTTGTTTCTTCTGAAAAACTTAGGTAAAGGGGACACTGGGAAACAGTAGTGAGCCCTTACAACAACGCAGGTGAGAGTTGGTTACATAAAGCAGGAGGCCGGGTTGGATCCCTGCTGAGCACAGAGCTGGGAGTAGCTCCTGGGGGCCACTGGGTGTGGCCCCCTGTAGAGGGTGACTCATGGGTTAGAATCCGTGCCCCCATGCAGGGCTCTCTCGGGCTTCCGGCCAATGGCCCCTCGTTCCCTTACCCTTCTTAGGGCTTGGACCTGTGTCCGTCCAGAGGTGGGAGGGCCCTGGTGAGGCTGCTGAGGTCCAGTGTGACGTGTGCGAACGCCGTGCTGTTGCTTCGGCCTCACCTTTGCCGTTTTTTGGGTCCCTCACTCTGTGTCCGTCGTACCCCCTCGTTCCGAGGAATGGGTTCTTCACTCCCACGTGCTGTCCCGTGTCATCATGGGTGTTTCCATGACTTACACGCCACCGTGTTCCTCGGGCGGCTTCTGCACCCCTCGCCCGGGCCGTCGGTCGCCTTCCCAGGGTCTCCCCACACCGCCCCATTTGGGTGCTGCTCCCCAGGGCCCCCGAGCTGGGTGGGGCTGGTTGCAGAGGGAAGGGGTGCGGGGCCTCACGGTACTGTCACGGCTCCCAGGACAAGGGGGCCCTGGGGGGGACAGGGTGTGAGGCACCCTGGGCCCTTCATGTGGGCTCAGCTGCCCTTGGCCCTTCCTGTTACCGGTGGGCAAGGGAGAGAACGGCCGGACACTGGCCAGGGGCCTTTTCCGGAATCCTTGTGTGTCCTTGTAACAGAGGCTGGTCGTCAGTGGCCGCGAGTGTGGGCTCGGGCCCAGGTCTGGGGTTGGAGGCCGTTTGTTCCTAGCTGGTGGGTGAGGTCGCGGGGGGCGGGGGGGCAGGGAAGGGAGGGGCACGCGCCCCAGATCTGGGCTGTGAGGGAAGCGCCCTCCCCCAGTTTTGTCCTCACGGACTGATAGGACTGATGCTCTCCCGAGGGTGCATCCGCCACCGCCAGTTCTGTTTGAAAAAGCATCTGTAGGTGTAAAAAAAAAAAATTTAAAAATGTCTTCAGTCGGTGTTGAAATAAGCCCACAGTGTTTCAGTATAGTAGATGTAACCTTGCGGCGCGAAGGGAATGTTCAGTCATGTTTAAGTGAGTCAGGGTTCTCTTTTTGAAATATTCGACTTGTTTCACCAGGCCCTACATGTAGGAAACACGAAGCTGTTTGTGGCGTTCTGTCCGCGTGGTCGGTGGCGTTCGCCGGATTTCAGAAGGCCGTGGGGGGAGTAGGGGAGGGGCAGGGTCCTCTCCAGACCCCTGCCCGGCTGCCCCGTCCCCTGGGCTGTCGCCTCTGCCTGTGCCCCAGCAGCCTCTCTGGGGGAGGGAAGCAGCTGACACTGTTTCTACCTGCCAGGCAGCCCCTTCCTGATTGTCTCTTTGCAACAGTTTGTTCTGAAGCATGCAGAGAAGTTAACTTCACATTCAACACCTGACTGCATGTCAGTGTTTGCTGCCCGATTGCTGCATGTCCCCTGCGAACAAGAGTGTCATTCCCCCCCTCCCCCCCCCCGCCCACGACCCCCAACACACACACACACACACACACACACACACTCTCTCTCTCTCTCTCTCTCTCTCCCCCATCTGACAGAGCTAATGCAAGTGTCCAGCAAGAGCCTGGCTGGCCTGGCTCTGGCCGCGTGGCCCGGGGCCTGGGAATATTTGTCAGGTGATTGCAAGTCCATTGTTCTGTTTGACGGTCCCCATCCGCTGTGTGGAGCTGAAAACGTTTTTGAAAACAAATCAGGTTTCTTACCATGTGATCTCCAGTTTTTCAAGTGTGCTTCCTGTCCCGAGAGACAGCGGCCTGGGGTTTGCAGTGGGAAGTAGACCCTGCGTGTCCGAGTCTCTGCCCGTGCCCACGGTGGTGCTCTTGTGTGTCTGCATCGCTGGGTCTGGGTCCGTGCCCAGGTTCCTCAGTGGGAAGCAGCTGAGGAACTGGCTGCTTCCTGTGAAGATTTCCTTGCAGGAGACTGATTGCAAAAGGCAACAGCTCCCTGGGGCCCCGGGAGGTCCTCAGGAGGGGGGAAATAGATCTGGTACTTCAATCCTGTGGGGAGGCTGCCCCTCCAGAATTTGCCCAGCCTCTGCGGCTGAAGGGTAGGCTGAAGGGTAGGCCGAAGGGTGAGCTTGCACGGGGCCTCTGGAGCTGCTGGCTGTGTGTGTGTGTGTGTGTGTGTGTGTGTGTGTGTGTGTGTGAGAGAGAGAGAGAGAGAGCGCGCCAGAGCGTGTATGTGTGTGTGCGTGCTTATATGTGAGAGAGAGAGCATGTATGCGTGTGAGAGAGCTTGCACAGCGACTCTGGAGCTGCAGACTTGGTGTGTGTGTGTGTGTGTGTGTGTGTGTGTGAGAGAGAGAGAGAGAGAGAGAGAGAGAGAGAGAGAGAGGGCGCCAGAGCATGTGTGTGTGTGTGTGAGCTTGCACAGGGACTCTGGAGCTGCAGACTCTGTGTGTGTGTGTTGATGTGTGTATGTGAGAAAGAGCCAGACCATGTGTGTGTGCACATGTGTGTGTGAGCTTGCACAGGGACTCTGGAACTGCAGGTTATGTGTGTGTGTGTGTTTGTGTGTGTGCGCGCACGCGCGCACGTGTGAGCTTGGATTCTGGAGCTGCAGGCTTTGTGTGAGTGTGCATGTGTGAGTGAGAGCGTGTGCGTGTGCGCATCTATATGTGTTTGAGAGAGCGGGAGCGTGTGTGTGTGTGTGTGTGTGTGTGTGTGTGCGTGCACGCGCCCGCCCCTCCTTCCTCCTGGTGGTCCTGCATCATTTCGGCCTCTCCTCTTCCTCTCCCGCGGGCCGGAGCTCAGGGCTTTTCTGTACTTGCCGCTGGCAGCGTGGAACATCCAGGTTGTTCCCTCCACCGCCGCGTTCCCTTCATGGTTTCCCCTGTTCCTCCCCACAGGCGCGGGTCTTGTATGATTTTGCTGCTGAACCTGGAAATAATGAACTGACAGTTAACGAAGGAGAAATCATCACAATTACCAATTCGGTAAGAGCATTACTACGTTTGATTCCAGTTGTCCCTCGGGCCCATTTCGAGGGTTTTGTTTGAACAGTTGACCGTTCAAACCCACATAAGACTTTTTCCCCGTGTTGCTTGGAAGTCTTGCTGGAGAAGTAAGAGTCTGTTATACTGACACTGGGGAGAGGGAAGTCCCGCCATGGCGGCCGCCTGACAGACAGGCGGCTCCAAACAGACAGGGGGACACCCCAGCCACATCGAGGTGCAGAGAATAAGTTTCTCAGAAGGCCCACTTCCACTCAGGCCCCCCTGCGCGCGTCAGGGTTTGACCTCCAGATCTGTCCTGAGTCCCAGGAACTCTGGGCTGTCGTTATGAATGAGGCCGGTGCCACCCAGAGGACTAGGGCAGTTGCCCACTTCATTCCGCTTTCAGATGGCCAAAGAAGGACTCCAGGCCACAGCAGCTGACCAGCCCCCACCCCCTACTCCCTGCCCCCTGCATGCTTCTTCTCTCCTGGGACACCCCTGGGGGGCCAGCCTGTCAGGCTGCGCTGCCTCCCCAGGAGGGGGCTCCTGCAGGCTCTGGTGGGTTCTGTTGGATGTGGCTCCTACAGGGCTGTGGAGGCCTCGGGTGGGGGTGAGAAGGGCACAGGGTGGAGACTAGGCCCACCGGGTCCCCAAGCACAGTGGCTGCTGGAGCATCACGGATCTCTGATCTCTCTCTCTCCCGACTCCTGCAGGACATCGGCGGAGGATGGCTGGAAGGCAAGAACAGCAGAGGAGAGCGAGGGCTGGTCCCCACGGACTATGTGGAAGTACGCTCCTGCCTGGTCACCTGGGGACACTCTCCACCCCTGCCCCTTCAGAGGATGCGGGAAAGAGAGCTGCTTTTCTAACAACAAATAAACAAATCCGTTTGTTTGAAGTGACCCTGGGTGGTTCCATAAGATACTAGACCCTTGGCCCGACCCGCACGGTCCCAGGCACCTCCCCAGGGCAGAGACGGGCTCCCTGGCCCCGGGCCCACTGCTGGCCCGAGAACTGACCCTCAGAGTCCACGTCACTGTCTTCTCTCTGGGCCCATCGGAGCCCTCGCTCGGGCTCCGCGTCCCGCCCCTTCAGACAGGAGGGTCTTGAATGATGTGATCGGTGCCAGGTGCCAGCACGCCATGTGACAGCTGGCCGGGCAGCCACCCTGCCGGGCACACCCACCCGGCTGACTGCCTCCGCCAGGCCAGCTCCTCGCGCCCCCTGCTGGTGGCTGTGGGCTGCCTGGTGCTGGCGGGGGCCTGTGAGGAGGCTGGGAGGGGGACCCAGGGCGAGACGCGGAGTCCGTGGGTGGTGGCAGGACCAGCTGGGCGCACGCGTTCGGCTCCCGAGTTCCAGCACTGGCCTCTGCTCCGGATGGCCTTTGCCATGGGTGCTGGAAAGACACCGGGTCCGCGTGGCCGAGGGTTGGTGTGTGAGCTCTGGGCTCCTGCAGTCGGCGATTCTGAAGGCCGAAAAGAAGGAGAAAACTCAGAGGGACTAAGTCGATAGCGACATTTACTTGCAGTTTTTTGGGATTTTTATTTTTCTTTTTAAGATTTCTGTCTGCTTCTAGAAAGGCGTGGTTTTTTTGGTTTTTTGTTTGTTTGTTTGTTTTATTTTGTTTTGTTTTGTTTTTTTACTGCAGACATGCCTAGGCTGCCTTTCCTGGGGAGGTGTGCAAACGCCTTCTCCACAGTTGATGCTGGTTCTTGCTTGTCCTTGGTGACTGGGACTCTGGGGTCACCCTAATCTCTGAAAATAATTGTGGTTCTCTCTGATATTTAGATTTTGCCCAGTGATGGGAAGGATCAGTTTTCTTGTGGAAACTCAGTGGCTGACCAAGCCTTCCTTGATTCCCTCTCAGCCAGCACAGCTCAGACCAGCTCGGCCGCTGCCAACAGTAATAACCAGGTAAGGCGGCCCACGTCCCCGGGAGCGGAGCTCAGCGGGGCAGGTTTGCGATGCACTCCGGCTGCTGACGTCCCCGTGTGCACCAGCGCGGGCTGGTAGATGCTTGTGTGGTGTTTGTGGGGTATTAACACTGAGCTCACCTGGGAAGGCGGGCAGAGACTTCCAAGGCCGGTTTTGAGAGGGATGGCGGGAGGCTTCCTGGGAGTTGGTTTTAAGTGAGTGAATGTAGCACTGTCCTCCGTTGTTCATCGATTTGCTCGAGCGGGCCCAGTAACGTCTCCATTGTGAGATTCGTTGTTACTGTGTTTGGCATATCGAATACTTCACAAGGAGCTTGCCAGGCTTTGTGGTGTGGGCAAGATACTCTCAGTAGCTTGCCGGGCGTTCCGAGAGGGACAGAGGAATCAAACTCGGGTCTGCCAGGTAGGCTGCATGCAAGGCAGGCGCCCTACCCGCTTTGCTAAAACCCTAGAAATGTCTTTTCAGTTAAGGTAGGCCATCAGAGAGAAAAGTAGGGTCTGGGGCTGGACCGATAGCACAGCGGGGAGGGCGTTTGCCTTGCACGCGGCTGACCTGGGTTCGATCCCAGGCATCCCATATGGTCCCCCGAGCACACCACCAAGATTAATTCCTGAGTGCAGAGCTACGAGTAACCCCTGAGCATAGCCAGGTGTGACCAAAAAAGCAAAAAAATAAATAAAAAAAGAAAAGCAGGGTCCTATGGCTGAAAACTGGCCACTGGCCAGTCAGCACCTTCCTGGCCCAACCGCGCTCTGACACCCTCCCTCGGGAGGCTGGGCACTTTCTCTGGCAGACATGGGCCCTGTAGGAGCCGCTGCTTGTTGTGGGGCAGTGTTTGTGTGTCGCCCCTAGAGAGCTCCGCGTAAGAAGTGATGCGTGCAGGGCACACTCAAGTGTCCTTTGGGTGCTCTTGAAAGCTGAGCAGGTCCGTTACTGGCCCGGTTCGAGTAGTGCTCCAGAGTGGATGCTTGGAGCACGGCTCTCCGGGCTCTCTTAGGCCGCCTGCCTCTGCGGAGAGGAACGGGCTGGGCACGTGGCTTGTGAACCGTGTCAAATTCAGGAAGCCCGGCGAGCGCAGAGTTTGCTGTCGTCCAACTGAGCTCAGAGTGCTTATTCCTCAGCCTTCCTGCAGTCCCCAGGTCGCTGTCACCATACGCTAACAGGCCTTATGCACCCAGGTAGCTCTGGGGCTTTCTCCCTTGTGGCAGGCGGCGTGGGGGCTGGCAGCGCACTCTGAGGTGCCCAGGGCTTACTCCTGGCTGTGTGCTCAGGGGCCACTCTTGGCGGTGCTTGGGGGGCCCCAAATGGGGAACCAGCTGCATCGAGGCAGATGCCCTGCACTGTCTCTGCACGTTGTGGACAGTTTGTATTACAGAGAGTCTGGCTCAGAGACAATCCAGAGGGCAGAGGTCGGAGGGTCCCCACTGAATCTACTGGCCGGTTTCCTGCATTCTCTGACTGTGACACCCGAGATACAGTCAGAGACGACATGAGAAGCCGTGTATGCAGAGGTGGCCACTGGCCATCCCGGTGCCTCTCCCTCGGGGTCCTCGGCTGAAAGAGCCCTATTACGCCAGTAGGCCAGGAAGGTACGCGGAACCATGGCGGAGGGAAGTGACTACTCAGGAGGGCGTGCTGGACTGTGGTCAAGTGTCAGGCACGGACCCTATCAGTCACAGAACTGTGACCACAGTGCCGGAAACTTATTTTTAAAAGTGCCGGTCATAGAGGCAGGCTGGGGAGGGCGGGAGGGCAACTGGGCACAGGAGTGGAAGGAGGTGGACGTCAGTGAAGGGACGGGTGTTGGATCATTGTCTGCCTGAAACTCTGTCAGGAGTAATTCAGTGACCAAAGGGGGGAATGAACACAAGATGCGACGTGTGTCTGGGTGTGCCTTGGGGCAGTGTCAGCCCAGACAGACTCAGACAGCTTTCTTTTTCACCAAGTCAAACTCAGTGGCCCCACTGAGCTTTGAGTGCCACTTCAGAAGCAGGGGCCAGCCTGGGTGACAGCAGAGGTGACAGACCGCCCGGGCTGAGGGGACTCCAGCTCTGGCCCGGGCCTGGCCCCGTGTCGACGGCTCTGGGGGGACGTGGGTCTTTCTTCTCCGACTGCGCTCTGCAGGTGCTGCGTCCCTTCTTTGGGGACCCCTTCCCGACCCGTCCCTCGCAGCATGCTGATGGCTGTGACGGAGCCGTCCTGTGTCAGGCGGTGCTCCCAGAGCTGGAGAGCTCTCTCAGCGAGAGCAAGTGCTCCCGTTTGTCAAGGCGCCTGGTGCTCTCAGAACCGGCCTGGTCTTAAGTGAGACCCCGGGTTGGCATCTGGCAGTTCTGACTATGAATTAAAGGACTGGTTAAGTCACTTGAATTGCGGGGGGGGTGGGGGGGTGGGAGGGGGGAATAGCCAGTGAGAAGTCTTAGTGCTTTTTTGTTTTGGGGTCTCTCCAGCAATGCTCCGGAGACCGGGGGACCCAGCCAGGGAATCTCGGCTGGCCGGGCCCGTGGTACAGTCACATGTCGTCTGGCTGAGAGCCTGTGCGTCAGTGTGCTGGCCTCTCTCTGGCCCCGGGACCAGCTTCGAGTGGATTTAGTCTGTTTTGAGAACTGCCCTATTTTAGCAGACTCTGCGAGTTTTATATCTTCCGTAGGGATTTTCTGGAGTCAGTGGAGGCTCCTTTTAGACTTAAGTGGTATCTTCTGAGCAAAAAATCTTTTAAAGATAAGGACTGGAGAGAGTACAGTGGGTACGGCGCTTGTTCTGCACACAACCAGCCTGGGTTAGATCCCTGGCACCCCATAGGGTCCCCGAAGCCTGCAGGAGTGAGCTCTGAGCACAGAGCCAGGAGTGTCCCTGAGCCGAGAGCCAGGAGTGAACCCTGAGCACAAAGCCAGGAGTAATTCCTGAGCACAGAGCTAGGAGTGAACTCTGAGCACAGAGCCGGAAACCATCCATGAGCCGAGAGCCAGGAGTCATTCCTGAGCACAGAGCCAGGATTGAGCCCTGAGCCCTGCTGGTTGTCACACCCCGCAAAAAAAAAAAATATTTTAAAGGTGGGAAATGTATAAATCCTCCCCCTCAGCCTCCCAGAGACGGGCGCTGCTCTGACTTTGTCTCCCCAGAGTTCCTGTCGTCTGAGTTGCTGCCGTCCGGGCAGAGACCAGCCCTTCTCACTTGGCGCTCCTCCCCTTTGAGATCACGTGTCCCTCGGTGCCCACTTGGAATCTGCCTGCTGCGCAGGGACAGGCCACCGCCCCACCACATCTGGTGCCCCTGCTGTGCCCCCCCCACCCCCATCCCAGCACCCTATGGGGACCCTAGCGCCGTCTAGGGGCAACACTGGACAAGGGCCGGGTGGGGCCAGTGAGGCACATGTCCAGATGCGGTGGTCCTGGGTCCTGGGGGCTGCCCCTGATATGGATTTCGGGGCGGGCGCCCATTGCTGGAGGCCGCCCTCCTTGTGGGCGCAGCAGAGCGAATGAATGTCAGCCTGTGAAGCTGCAGCTGGCAGCCACGCCGTCGTGTCTGGGTGCCTTCGTATGACCCTGCCCTGGGCTGGGTGTGGGCCTGGGGGCCTCTGTGCTGGGCCCGGCAGCCCCCCAGCGCTGTGCCACCAGGTGTCACCAGGAAGGACCCCTACCACCCCACCCCCATGGCAAACGAAGAACATACACACATACACACACACACACACACACACACACACACACACACACACACACATTCCTGCAGGAGAGTATCCCTTGGACCCTTGGGAGTAAGGAAATGCACAGACTCAAGGCGTCACACACACCACGCACTGCCCCCGTGAGCGAGGCCTGCGGGTCCCTCCCATGCACGCCCGTGGCCCTGTGTGTGCAAGTCACCTGTCACAGGGACAGGCCTCTGTTAGGGGCGTGCGAGTGACTCCTCAGTAGTGATCGTTTGTTCTGGTTCTGTTTGGGGACCACAGCAAAGCGGATGATCCGCTTCAGTCTGCAGTGGTGCTCGGGGCTCACTCCTGGCCAGCTCTGTGCTCAAGGCTGACTCCTGGCTCTTTACTCAGGGGTCACTCCTGCTGGGCTCAGGGGACCCTATGGAGTGCTGAGGCTAGAACCCGGGCCAGCCCTGAGCAAGGCAAGCACTCTCTGTGCTCTGCCATTGCTGTGGTCCCACTTCTCAGTAGTTTTCAACGTACCTAACTGGTCGGAACCAGCTCACACTTTTCCGCTGCTCCCTGAAATCCAGTCCCTCGGGCTGATCCGGTGGCAGCGTCTCACTGTCCCACCGGAAGCAGGTTTCACTCTGAGCGCGGAGGTCTTGGCCGCCATCCGCAGCGGTGAGTGTGTTTCCCGTTCACGCTGTTCCCTCGGAATCTTACCGCATCGGGTGGATCTTTCCGTCCACTGAGTGGGCTCGGGGCGGTCTTGCTGCTGCTTTTTTTTTTCAATTTTGTTTGGTTTTTGTTTTGTTTTGTTTTTCCAAGTGATTTTAAATTCATTCCTGTGAACGCATCCCACTCATGGTGCTTCTGTCCCCAAGTGGGCACTGCCCGCCCGCAGATGGGGGCACTTTCTGTCTATCTGCTTCAGGTTTCTCGGGGGCACCAGGGGGAGGTAGACTGGGTTGGGTCGAGTTTTTCTTGAGCAGCATCCAAGACCCTGAGGCCCCTCCTGGTGGTTCTAGGCCAGTGTGAGGGTTTGAGGGGGCAGTGTGGGCCATCCCGGGCTTCCCTAGTGGTCGTCAGGCCCCTCCATAGCCATCCTTGGCGGTGCTCAGGGCCCACCAGGGCTGAGCCCGGTGACATTCGGGGTCCAGGCGCAGGGACAGAACCAGCCTGGCCTCAGCCCCCACCTGCCCCCGCCAACTTCTCTTTGTGTGCTGGACTGTTCCTCTCACAACTGCTGGTTTGTTTCTGTCCTGGGCGCCTGATGAGGGACCTCAGGACTGCCAGCTGAGATGCTCGTGTGTACCCATGGGCCTCTCTGAGCCACTGAGCATGTCACTAGGCTGGTGAAAGTGGTCCCGGAGTGCAGTGTGGCCAGCAGCCCCCCGCAGCGCTGGGCGGTCCTCATCAGGCGTCCATACACTGGCCCTCGGCCACCTCAGCCCCTGACTCCAGCTCTGCTGCCTCAGGGCATGCAGCCACTTGTCCCCAAGGACACCGCTCCCCCTTGGGGCCCAGCGGTCACCAGCGATAGGGCTCACGTCCTTCGTTAGTGAGGGACCATGACCAGTGCACCCCCCACATTGGCCTGTTCCTGCCGGTCAGCAGATCTGCAACTCCGCTGATGCCCCCCACCCCCGGCCTGCCAGACCCCCATTCAGAGACCCCCCCCCCGGGCGAGGAGCGTGTTCTCCTGTCCCAGAGTCGGCAGCAGCTGGTGTCCGGCCGGGTGGCGGAGAACTGGGGCCCCAGAGATGCCCCCTGGGCTGCCGTGCCTGTGTGGGCCCTGATGCCGGCGGAGGCAGGGCCGTCTGGTCTCTGAAGGAGGCCCGCCCGCCCGCCTGCCCCTCCGCAGGCCCCCGTCCTCACGCCGCTGAAGCTTGACCGGGTTTTCTTCCACGCCTGCATGCTCTCCGCTCGGCTCCTTGCGTGTGCCCCTAACGAGCCTGCGTGTGCCGGGTGCCTGCCCTGCCCGTAACCCGCCGCCCGCCTCCCGCTGGGCTTGGCCTCTGCATGCTGCGCCCGTCCCCGCCGCCTTCTCGCCATTCACTGAGCGACTTTTTCACTTCAAGGTGGATGTTCTGGCTCAGGTCGGCTGCGCTGAAAGTCTCAGCCAGTCACCACCTTCTTCATCTTCTCCTTCTCCTCCTCCTTCCATACATAAGGTAAAGCTCCAGCCTGAGTGCCAGCGGAATGAACCCGGTTCATGCCCCGAGAGCGGCTCCTCCTCTTCCCACGCGCACCAGCTCCCTGCGCTGAGACGGGGCTGGGGCCCTCGGGGTGGGACGTGAGGCAGGTGGCTCCAGCCTCGACTCGGGGGGGTGGGCGTCGGGAGGGGGATGGGACGCCTCAGAGGGTGGTGGCGCCCGCCCGCATGCGGGACGGGGCGGACCTGTGTGTCAGCGCAGAGGGAAAGCAGGGAGCCAGGGAGGGCGCCCCGAGAAGGCGACGGGCAGGTGTGCCTGCCAGGGGACCCCGGAGGTCAGCCAGAGGCCCTGGGAAGAGCCTGAGTGCCGATCCCAGGACAGGCGCCGGAGAGGCTTCCAGTGGGTTCCAGAGAGTTTGTCAGCGGGAGACGAGTTGAAACACGAGAGGGAATGTTCCAGGGGGGAACCCCCAGGACAGAGACGCGAACCATCATCAGATTTGCAGGGAGTTGGCGCGTGGAGACGAGCTCAGGTCCCCTCCGCAACGCAGTCACACAGCGTCTTTCTGGGCAGCTGAGACCGAGTGGCAGCTTGCCAGGCTCGGACTCCAGCCGGGGTTACCCAGAGGGAGGGATGGAGGGAGGGAGCCAGTCAGCACCCGGCTGGGGCCTGGGGCCCCTTCTCTGGGGGTTCTGCCTGGCCTCGCCCAGGATCGCGGGACTTCTCTTGCTCATGCCCCTGTGGCCTAGGTGAGCAGCTCCTGAAGCAGCTCAGATGCCCCGGCATGGGGGGTTTGGTCATCCAGAAACTTCTTCCTGTTGCCAACACACACACACACATACACACACACACCGAACCCCACAACCCCAAGCAGGGTCAACACCCCGGCTTCAGCCCTGCACGTGTCGTGTGCACCACTGTCTGCACTCACTTTGCCCCTGGGGAATTTTTTATTTCAGAAGCGAAGGGCAGAGTCTAGGTTCTGGGGGACCCGGGTGGAGGCTGCTGGGGGAAGCTGCTCCCAGAGAGAGCCCGGGGTGGGGGGGGGAAGAGGTTTCCGCCCTGCCCGCGGCCTAGCTGCCGCCTTGTCCAGGGTCCTGCAGAGGCACGAGCCTTGGACAGCTCAGTGTCATGGGTGACCCTCTGCCCGCTGTCCCTGTTAGAGCTTCCTCCCATGAGGGACAGGCGGGGTCGGGGCCTTTGGTCAATGCTGGTGGTCAGGGGAAGGGTGGGGGAGGGTCAGCCCCTGCCCCCAGCGCTCAGGCCAGCACGGGAGGAGGTTTGGGTCACCAGCCTGCAGGTCTTTTTCCCGGAACCGCTTTTCTTCACGTCACCTTGAGCAGAGGGACTCGGGGGCGGCGCGTGTGCCTTTGGGTGGAGCTCGTCCCTCCCGGGAGCCGGCCCGCCCGGGTTCCACACACAGCCGAGGGGTGGGTGCCCGTGCCTATCCGAGACCAGCAGCTTGTGTCCGGGAATTGTTTATTTTCCAAAAGTACTGCTTGTTTTCCCTGAATTTGTCGGTGAAGTTAAGATAATTCCGAATGAAAACTGATGCGTTTTTGAAAAAACTTGCCATTCCCGTGCCTGGCGTCCAGGTTCCTCCGAGTGGGGGAATGTGACGCCGTGGAGGTTCCTGGGTTAAAGGCAAACAGACGCAGGGTGTCTCGCACAGGCCTCACAGTGCTCCCCGGCACAACTCCTTGGAGCTCCCGCAGCAGCCGGGCCAGCCCTCGGGGTCCCCGGGGTGCAGGGGAGGCCACCACAGCCGCCTCCGGGCCGCTGCGATGCGGAGGAGGAGCCGGACTGTTGGAGGCCGTGGGTGGCCAGTGGGGAGCGCTGAGCCGCCTTCCCGTGTCACTGCACGTCCGAGACATTTCCAGGGAGCTCAGGGGTTAAAAAAAATTAGGGAAGGAGGGAAAACATAAAGCCACACTGGCGAGGGGGACAGAGCATGGAGCTGGCAGGACCCGTGTCCCGCAGCCCTCCTGGAAATTGTGTCCTAAATTTCGCCGGCGATATTAATAGTTAGACAGCGGGGCCCCGGGGAGCTGGGGGTGGCCCGCTGGCAGGGCCACGGGCTCTCGGGGACAGGGTGCGGGCCGTCTGGAAGGCCAGTCGCCAAGGCCCACCACTCTCATGGGCGGTCTCTGAGCCCGGTGGCTTCCTTCCGAGAGGGTCACGTAGATCTACCGGTGCCTGTGGACAGGGGGATGTGGCACATTGGCTGCGTGACCGTCAGGAGCAGGACACTGAGAACCAGAGACAGGACGCTGGCAAGATGCACGCAGGAGGCTCTGCAGGGGGGTTCGTAAACCAGCAGCAGTGCCCGTTGACTGCTGCCCCCTGGGCAGTGCATGCCAGGCAGGAAGCACCCCGGGGCACAGCAGGAGAGGGTCCACACGCCTGCATCGGCAGCACACGGGACGTCTGATGGACACAGGACCCGCGGGTCAGGGTCTCGGCAGGAGGGGCCCTCTGACGGTGGAGGGCTTCGTTTGAAACCGTCTCCTCTGTTACCCTCGGCGTTTCAAAGTGGGGGTTTATCCCCTTCTCAGATAAAAGCCTACTCAGAAATACGGCTGATTGCTAGAAGGCAGGTAAAGCGGAAGAACAGGCCCTCGCCATCAACACATCTCAGAGGCGTCAAGTGTGCGTGTGGCGGGAGCTGGTGTTCGTGGGTGTCCAGTATGGAACCGCCCCAGCAATGAAGAGTGGTTCCAGGGGAAGGTGGGAGGCGTGCGGGTAAGCCAGTTCTGGGCCGGGATTTCTCGGTGCCGGGCTTGAAGCTTCCTGAGCAAACGCACACGGCAAAGTGGCGAATGAGGTCACGGCCGCTTTAGACATTCCCCCCTCACGTTTCCACATTTCACTTACCAGAATTTAACTGTGTACCATTTTGATGAGTTTTACTGAGCCCCCTCTGTTGTTTTCAGTTGTCGCGTCCCCTGTGAGCTGGCTGCCCAGGGTTGGTTTCTGGAAGCCACAGAATTTCTCTCTCCTCCTTCCCCCGAACAGCAGGTCGGCGGCGGCAACGACGTCTGGTCGGCCTGGAACACCAAGGCGGGGAACTGGGACAGCACGGACAGCTGGGGGGCCAAGCCCGAGGGCCAGAGGAGCACTGCCAATAACTGGGACACCGCCTTCGGGCACCCCCAGGCCTACCAAGGACCAGGTGAGTGGGGGGGTAGGGAGCCGGCCTGGGGTCCACTCGGGACCAGGCCCAGGGTCAGCGTGATTACTCCTGGAGGAGTGACGCCGTCCAGCCAGAAGCAGAATCCCCAAGTGTCGGAGGCAGCCGTGGGCACTGCTGCCCAGGGTCCCAGGGGCGGCACTGCGGGGCCAAGTCTCCCTAGGGCCGAGGAGGCTGGGCGGGCAGCTGCCTCTCAGTGGCCCTCTGTGCCCTGGAAGGGCGGCGGGACTGGGCTTGCTGCCCCACCCCTGTATGGCTCCTTCCACCCTCTCGAGCCTCTTCCCCCGACTCGGTCCCTACCCTGTGTGCTTCCCTGTCCTGCTGGGAGCTCAGGGTCTCCCCTTCCGCTGCCCCCTAACTCCCGTCCCCCCCGCCCCCCACCCCACCACCCCAGCCCCCCGCCCCCCACCCCACCACCCCAGCCTCTATCTGAACATTCTGCTCGCTGGCGGGAAAGTGGCAGAACAGACCCTCGTTCTCAACACATCTCAGAAGCGCCAAGTGTGTGTGTGTGGCGGGTGAAAGGACGTGAAGAGCCCGGGGTTGGGGCTGGAGCCATAGCACAGCGGTGAGGGGCGTGTGCCTTGCACGCGGCCGACCCGGGTTCGATTCCCAGCATCCCATATAGTCCCTCGAGCACTGCCAGGAGTGAGTCCTGAGTACGTGAGCCAAGAAGAACCCCTGTGCACTGCCAGGTGTGACCCAACAAAAGTAAAAAAAAAAAAAAAAGCAATAAAGACAAGCTCAGGGTTTCCCAGTGCTGTTCCCCGTCTGAGCTGGTCCCCACGGCAGGAGCTGCAGGAAGGGCTGGGGGCCTCTGGTACTGCCCTTTCCTCTGCCGCCTTCCTTGTGGCCTTGGTCACCAGCTTCTCCTCCACCTGCTTAGGGCACAGGCCCAGGGCTGCTCCTGCCCGACAGGAAAGGACCCGCCCCCGGGGCATCTGCAGACCCAAGCCCAGTGAGCCTGGTCAGAGCGGGGCTGTGAGCCGCCCCTTCCCCTGAGAGCTGCTCTCCTCCCTTCCCTGGTGGGTGGGGTGGGGACAGCGCCCCCTGCCCCCCACAGATCCCCCCAGCAGCACCCGAGGCTGGGGGCACCCAGAGCTATGCCCGGTAGTTCTGGTTTGGTGAGGGAAGCCCTAGTGATGGGGATCAGACTAGAGGCCCCTGCCTGACCCCGAGCTGTGTCCGTGGCCCCTGGGTAACCACTTCCTGTCTCCGTTTTCCCTCTTCCCTTCCCCATGCCCCATCCCAGTCCGTGTCCCTACCCGCTGCCCTTAAGTCCCTTGTTCCTGCACCAAGTGCCCCCCCCCCACCCTGGACTTAAGCGTCCAGTCCGCCCCTCCTCAAACTGCTCCCCCCGGCCCCCAGCCCGCACTCTCCCATAGCTGTCGGGACGAGATAGGCAGCAGGGAGTCACAGGGACAGGCCGGTCACTCCAGTTTGCTTATCGGCTCGTACTCTCCTCTGCCCGCGTCCAGCAACCGGGGACGACGATGACTGGGACGAAGACTGGGATGACCCCAAGTCGTCCTCCCCCTACTTCAAGGACACGGAGTCTGCGGATGCAGGGGGCGCCCAGCGGGGAAACAGCCGGCCCGGTGGTGCCTCCATGAAGCTGCCCCTGAACAAGTAGGTGGGGGTGGGGGTGGGGGTGGGGGGGCTGGCGGCGGGGACCTGTGGGTGCCCGAGGCCTCGCGCCTGGTGATTCGGTCACTTTCATTTGACTCCGGGAGCGGGAAGCTTGTTCTGTCGAGAGCCGTTTTCACGGGGAAGTGGGCGTTTGGTCCTGGGCCTGCCCCCGGGAGGAGGATGATTTAGTGCCAGGGTCCCAGGAATGCCCCGAGATGTCCCCGCAGCGAGTCCATTCAAGGGGTCAGTGTCCAGGCACTGTCATGGTGGCGGGTGTGAGTCCCTGGTGGCCTCTGAGCTTGGGAGCAGGGAAGCAGAGAGTGAGTGGCCGCAGGCTCCCGTGGGGTGGCCAGAGGTGGGCTCGTCCGGTTGAGGCCCCCTCAGACACCACAGACCTTGGCAGAGCTGCACCACTGCAGACACAGCCCAGAGCACTGTTTGCCGCGGAGAGTTCTGGGGAAGGCTGTAGCGACCCCAGTACAGTGACAGAGACAGAGTCCCGCGGTTGCCATGAGGCAGTTCAGGCTTCTCACAGCAGTCCCGGCAGCAGGGGAAAGTCGGGCTCAGTCCCTGCGCTCTGCTGAGCATCACAGGGCCAGCAGAAACCACCACCGCCCACGCACAATCAAACAACATCCAGAGCAGAGGAGACCGTGCGGGGGGCTTGGCTCCCAACCGGGCTTGACCCCTGCACTGCACGGCCCCAGCTGTGGCCCCGCAGCCCCCCTGCGCACCGCCGGACCCCAGACTCCACCAGCCCCGTAGCCTGCAGCCTGCTCTGCCCATAGTTCATGGGAGTGACCCCTGCAGCCAGACACTGTTTGGGAGGCCCAGGAAGATGAAAAAGGATTTTAATTTCTAAAATTGCTGATGGTTTTTCCTCTATGTTTTGGCTTTTGAGCCCAGGGGTCACTCCTGGCAGGCTCAGGAGTGGATGGGATGCTGGGTGGAGCCTGGGCTGGCCACGTGCCCACAAACACCCTCCCTGAAGTACCTTCCCTGTGGTCCCCTTTTCCCTATGTTTTCAATGTATGATTTAAGACATAAAAAGTGTGCTCTGTGAAGTGCAGTGTTGGGTGGGTCTGGAAGGCCTGGGCTGGGCCAACCTGGACTCCGTTTCGAGCCTCAGTTCTCCTTAGTCTATTTAATTAACACCAGGTGATCCCCTCCCCCACCCCCCGTGCTACTCAGGGGTCCCTAGATGATGCCTGGGGCCGCTTGGAGGACCCCTGTCTCCGCAGCCCCTAAGTGATGTGTCTTCAACTGCGCCCTTTCTGCCCTCCCGTCCACACACAGTGGAAGTGGTCAGTGCCACCTCTGCCCATTCTCAAGATCCGGCCGGAGACTCGGCTCTGGGCATGTGCGCCCCTTCCAGAGAACAGACCCTCGGCCCCCTTTGAGAGGGGAAGGTGGCACTTCCCTGGCTGGCCCGTGAGCCTGCTGGCTGATCCTGGGGGTGGGATGAGGGGGGAATGACCGCTCAGACCCTGTCTACAGTGAAGATTCTTCTGCACTAACGTGTCCGGCCAGGTGGGACAGAGGGGACAGACCTGGGTTGCTCGCGGCCTATGTGCTTCTATCTGAGGGCAGGAACCCTCGGAGCTCCTGGGTTCTCAGCACATTCTGATGGCGAGGGTGTTCAGACTTGGGACAGATGATTGTACTTCTGAGCATTAATTAGCTTCACGTGACAGCCGTATTCTACTCGTGGGACATAAGCCTCACATTAGGGAAAAGGATGCAGGGGCCGGACGGATAGCACAGCGGGGAGGGCACTTGCTTTGCACGCACCAGCCCAGGTTCCATCCCCAGCAAACCATGTGGTCCCCCGAGCACCACCAGGAGCGATTCCTGAGAGCAGAGCCAGGAGGAACCTCAGAGCATCGCCAGCTGTGGCCTGAAAAACTAAAAAGAAAAATAAAAAGGGGAAATTTCATACGTTGTATCACCCCATCCTGATAAGATTTAAAGAATAGTTTACATGGGCTCTGTCTTAAATGAATGCATTCTGGAAGTTTGCTGTGATCCCATAAAAATACCAACACAAGAGCAAAACGTGAGCCCTGCTCAGAAGCTCGCAGTCTGCTCAAAGTTGAAGCGCCCCCAGTTTTTCCATCAGCATCCTCCACCAGAAGGGGAGGTAGGTTATTTCACCAACGTCGTCCAGACTAGCTCCTTCGTTAAGTATTTAGTCTGTCCGCACAGCTCTTGGCGCCTGCTGTGACGTGAGTGAACGAGGCAGGTCAACTCCGGGACTGGTCTAGCAGAAGTGCTTGGAATGTTGAAGAAACACTTCGGGACTATCAAGAATACTGTCCGAGAGATATTCACTGTCACTGTCCTCCCATTGTTCATCGATTTGCTCAAGCGGGCCCAGTAACATTGTGAGATTTGTTACTGTGTTTGGCATATCGAATACCTCATGGTGGCTTGCCAGGCTCTGCCGTGCGGGCGAGATACTCTCGGTACCTGGCCGGGCTCTCCGAGAGGGGCGGAGGAATCGAACTCGGGTCGGCCATGTTGGCTGCATGCAAGGCAAACGCCCTATCCGCTGTGCTATGGTTCCAGTCCCCGAGAGATATTATAATGTAATATATACGTATATTATACATGATACACATATTATACATAATATGTATGTACATACATAATACATGTATTATGGGAGGCTGGAGCGATAGCACAGCGGTAGGGCGTTCGCCTTACAAGCGGCCAACATGGCCGACCCGAGTTCGATTCCTCCGCCCCTCTCGGAGAGCCCGGCAAGCTACCGAGAGTATTCGATATGCCAGACACAGTAACAACAAAGTCTCCAATGGAGACGTTACTGGGCCCGCTTGAGCAAATCGATGATCAATGGGAGGGCCTTTACCTTTTTTTTTACCTTTATACATAATACATAACATATATATACATAATACATATATATAATAATATACATATCAGATGGAGTTTTAGTTTGCCAGTCTGTACTAGGCGCTTCACACAGTCTCTTTGTTTAACTCCTGTGTCTCTGTGGAAGATCTGTCTCGTTGGTCCCATTCTTCCCACGGTGGGACCCAAGACGTTGGAGCTGGAATTCAGGCCAGGCCATCAGCCGGTCCCCCTTTGCTCGCTGCCAGCGGGGCTGTGGTCAGGGGCCCGGGAGGAGCACTGGATGAGGGTCAGTGCAGAATGCAGAGGGGACGGCCGCAGAGCATCATCCCCCTGGCTGGATGCCCGAGTGAGGTCGGAAGTGGGGTGCACGGTTTATCGTAGAATACACTCTCTTCCTGTGTGGGCACTTGGCTCTGCGGGTGATGTTTTTGCCTCGCTTATTTATTCAAAAGACAGGACCGCTGCAGCCCAGCCTGGTTTTGCCGCCACGAGGAACAGCTCCTGGGTTGCATTTCCCCTCGTCTGGGTGTTGAGCTGGTTTCTCTCGGTGGGCTGGTGGGCCCCCTTGCTGGGGGGCTCTGGTCCCATAGGTTTCTGGGGGCGTGCTGAGTGAAAAAGTGCTTCTCTCCAGGGCAGTGTCCTTGGGATAGTGGGGGCGTCACTTTCCTCCGGTGCCCCGGGCTCATTTTGTCACTGATCTTTGTGGGGTGACAGTATTGCGGGTCTGGGCAGGCAAACCGAGTGTCCTTAAATATCACACCTTCTGGAGTCGGACTCTCCCGAGCAGATAAAGCCTAATGAAATGGCTTGGTTGGCCGCAGGACCATCTGATGACCTGGTGTTCTTTACCGCTTTCCTACCTCCGGCTCGTCTGCAGGGCCGGGCCAGGCTTAAAGGGTCGCATTGAGGAAGAAGCGTGGGGGGCCTTGTGGAATTCCTGTGAGGGTCACGGGACTCACGGCTCTTCTCTCCATGCTCAGATTTCCCGGATTTGCAAAGCCTGGCACGGAACAGTATTTATTGGCCAAGCAACTCGCGAAACCCAAAGAGAAAATTTCCATCATTGTAAGTGCATTCACATTTTCCGCGTTTGTTTCTAATTGAGCTGTTTATAATATCTCAAGCAAGAAAGTTATTAGTCATTTGGAAACTATTTTTAAACACATTGAATGTTACAAATAACTGTCTTGTGTGTTTAGAGCTCTAGAGGATAGCACTGTAGCACTGTCCTCCCCTTGTTCATCGATTTGCACAAGCGGGCACCAGTCACATCTCCATCGTGAGACTTGTTGTTACTGTTTTTGGCATATCGAATACGCCACGGGGAGCTTGCCAGGCTCTGCCGTGCGGGCGGGATACTCTCGGTAGCTTGCCAGGCTCTGTTTTTGTATTATTTAGGTATTCTTGATTTTTTTTTTTAAATCTTTCAGACTCTGAGTAGTTGAACTAAGAACTCACATAGTATATATTAGTTTAATCATTTTTCTCCTCTGCCGTACCTTGAAGCACCTTTTCCTTGCTCCTTATCGGCCAGCTCTACAGTATTGAGCTGGTAAGCCAATCCAAATATTTGGGTTCCTTCCCACGGCAGTGTTAGCAGAAAAAGGTGACTTCCCACCGAGGTGAGATCAGGCTCCCGGTAAACCAGGTCTGGACAAGGAGTTCCCAAACAAAGCCATTTGCCAGTGCCGCCCTCAGACTGCCTGGTGTTGGCCAGGGCCCCCCTCAGACTGCCATAGAGCGGCTTCATCATTGTATCACACAAGCTCTTTGGCTTCACCCAAAATTTCATTGTTGGCAGATTTTTCTAAGTGTTTTCAGGCAGCAGGTGCCTCGCTGCATCCAGAAACAGGACAGCTGGGCTCACGCTGTGCCGGAGGGTCCGGGGAAAACGGGTCACGGTGAAAGGATACGGGGGGGGGGGGGGGGGCGGAGCCCCGGTACAGCAAGGAGGGCGCTGCCTGGTGTGCAGCCAGCCCGGGTCCGATTCCAGCATCCCACATGGACCCCCGACCCCACTGGGAGTAACCCCTGAGCATCACCGGGTGTGGCCCCCAAACAAAACAGACCAAAAAAGAATTATTTGAATTAGTCTTATGACTTAATCCTAGATTTTTATTGTTTATGCTTGTTTGTCTGGGGGCCACCTGCAGCAGTGCTCAGGGTTGCTCCTGGCTCCTGGCGGTGCTCTGGGATTTTAGGGACCGAATCCAGGTCAGCTGCATAGACGGCAAGTGCCCAGACCTCTGGACTGTCTCTCCAGCCCCTTATTCCGAGATTTTTGAAAAGTTTGCAGTCCTAGAAGCCTCCGTATAGAAGTTGTGACTAAAACCCCTTTTTATCCCTTTCTTCAAAACAGATTTGGAGCAATTCTCTGACTGGTCAAATTCTTTGTTTTGTTTTGGTTTGGTTTTGGTTCGTTTTGGGGTCACACCTGGCAGTGCTCAGGGCTGTCTCCTGGCTCTGCACTCAGGGCTCACTCCTGGCGGGCTGGGGGACCCTATGGGGGTGCCGGAAATCGCTACCCAGGTCAGCTGCATGCAAGGCGAACATACCACCCACCATACTGTTGCTCCAGCTCCTGGTTATTTTCCTTCCTTCTTTGAGGACTTAAAAAATATCGAACACTTTTGTTTCACCTTGCTTTTTTTCCTTAGCTTTAAAGCTCAGTAGAAGAGCAAACCCGCAGCCGACCTCTGGGTTTCTCTGGCGCTTGGTGGCCAGGCCCAGTGGGGGTGGGACAGGGCTAAGTCAGCCCAGCGGGGGGTGCTGTGAGCTGCCCACAGAACAGGAGGGAGGTACGGGGGAGGTGCTGAGGAAAGACCCGTGTCTCCAGACCACCCGGAGAGGGCGAGGTGGGGTCACCCCGAGAGCAGAGCCATAGACGGGGGCCCTCGTGAGCCTTCCAGCCCCTCCACCCCGCTGGACATGCCACCTCCATATCCCGGCCGGCCTCACCCCTCTGAGCCTTCACTCCTCCGCCTCTCGAGGGCCAGCAGAGGAGAGTGATCGGTCCCCGGCAGAAGGTTTGCTCCTTGGGTTTTATTTCCCTGGTAGCTTGGAGGCCACCAGCCTCCGTCCCTGACAGCCGAGGTGCTCACTCGACCGCACCCCTGGGGGCCCCACCCCCCTCCCAGGGAGCCAGATGTGTCGTCCTGGGGAGAACAGCTGCAGGGTCTGATGCCCCTGGAGTCTCCTGCCCCCCTAACCCAGCCCCCGTCCCCGCACGCGGCAGGTCGGAGACTACGGCCCCATGTGGGTCTACCCTACCTCGACATTCGACTGTGTGGTGGCGGACCCCAAGAAGGGCTCCAAGATGTACGGGCTGAAGAGCTACATCGAGTACCAGCTCACGCCGACCGTGAGTGCCGGAGTAGCGCCAGGCTGGGCGGGGTCCCGGGCCTGCCCCCCGCGCAGCCGCCGCCACTGGGCCTCTCTGTCCTTCTCTCCTAGAACACCAACCGCTCCGTCAACCACAGGTACAAGCACTTCGACTGGCTCTACGAGCGGCTCCTGGTGAAGTTCGGCTCGGCCATTCCCATCCCGTCTCTTCCCGACAAGCAGGTCACGGGTGAGTGTGCGACCCAGAACCCCGGTCAGCGCGGCGTTCCCCAAATGGGGGTTCTGGGACGCCCCGAGGCCGGGGTGGGGGGCTCCCCTGGCACGGTTGGGGAGGCGCTTGGCGTCTGCCTGTTTGGAGAAGGCAGATTCCGGGGGCCAGGGGAGATTAACTCCCATCTTTCTGAATGGGGCCCCCAGGCCCTCGTTTGGGAAACTCTGGGACAGTGTGTCCGCTTCCTCTCATGCCGAGCCGTCACCTCGAGACGGACCCTCGCAAAGGGCCCTGGCACAGTTCTGTGAACACAGCCTGGGTGCTCACAATGTCATTGTCTGATTGCGCTCCGGGTTCCCATGACTGTGGGAAATGACCCGGAGACGTAACAGACCCCTCGGCGTGCAGTAGACGCGGAGACGCCAGGAGGCCAGAGCTCAGCGCTGCGTCTTCGTGTAGGAAGCAGCCCGGGTTTCTGCTTGGTCGTTGTGAGTTTTTTCACACTTGAATGTTTATGTGCAGCCTCTCGCCCCAAGGCCGTGTCTCTGCCCTGCCCAGGGCCCTATCTCCAGTCTGGGTGTGATTTGATCGTCAGCCTCACAGGGAACTTGAGCTCATGTTCCCAACTCTCGTCTGTGCTTCCTGGGATAGGAGTTGGGAAGGACACTGAGCTTCCCAGAGGACTTTGGGGAGAGTTCTGGCCTATAGCTGGAGCATTTGTCCGGGTGACGGACGCGAATGAAGGGATGGCCAGAAAGCTCAGGCGAGGGAGGAAACACGGACCCAAGGCCAGTGAGATCCCAGGGAGAAGAGATGCGTAGTCGGTGAAGGGGGATGGGGGAGGGAGCCACAGGGGGGAGGAGTTTGGGGCAGCACCGAGACCCTCATAGCCAGAGGGCAGAGGGCAGGCCACGCCATGACCCTAGCCGCTCTGCCCGTCCCCCTGGCGGCGTCACTCCGTGCCCCGGCTGAGACAGGCACGTGAGGCTTCTTCTGCAAACTCCTCAGCACCTTTCACCTCAGGGCCTAGTTGCTGTTTTCTGAAACGTTCTGCGAAGGGGACTTGCTTTTCTGGGAGTGAGTTTGGTTCGTGCTGTGTCCAGTGTTGTCCTGTGAGCTGGGCTGCTGGCCCAGCCCGTGCCGGGACTCCATGTGTGCTCTGGTGCCCTGTGGCATCATGGGGTCCTGCCCCTGCGCGCGGGCATGTAAAGGGAGGGCCACCCCCGGCCCTTCTCCGAACCCTGTCCTCTCCGTCAGGGACGAACGCGGCCTCTCCGGGGCACGGGGCCCGGCTCTCAGGTTCCAGTGTGGCATTTATTCTGCATCAGGTCCCTCAGGCTGCATCTGGAGCATCAGAGTTCCTGTTCTCCTATACTGCAGTTTGCAATTTTTTTCCAAAAAAAAAAAAAAAAGAGCAGCGAAGCTTCAGGCCGAGAGCCAGCGGGTGCCACAGAAGAGCGGGAGGACACAGCGTCAGGCTGAAGAAGCCGAGCTTTGAGCCTCGCTGGGCCGGGCGCCGAGGAAGCAGCCGGGCACAGAAGCCTCTTTCTTGGCGCTTCTCCCCTGTGCCGCCTGCCCGCGGCCCGACAAGGTCGGCATTATCCGCCCGTCCCCACGCTCGGCCCCGACGCTGATGTCATGGCCCGTCCGCTCCAGGAGAGCCTCGCTCAGAAGCGTGGGGAAACGGTGCCCATCGCTCTCCCTCCTCTGGACCCTCCGGAACCGAACCTGCTGGTCAGCACCGGCCCAGCCCAGCTGCGGCTGAAGCCGAGTGGGAGATGGTGCAGCCGCGTGAGCCGCGGTCACAGGGGAAGGGGACTCCGAGGAGAAAGTCATGGGGCTCACCCGGGGGGGTGGGGGCTGAAGGCGTCCAAACCAGCTGCCTGGTCTCAGGCATGCCCTGGTGCAGTGGCAGCACGGTCCGGCTCCCTGGGAAGTGCTCTGTGAGGCAGGAGGCACCATCGTACACAGGGAAGCAGGGGCTGGGGCATGTGGATCGTCTTCATTAATGGGCCCTCTCCTCCCCCCGCCGACCCTCCCGAGAGACCCTTCACCGCCCACTCTCTTTTTTTAATTCCCTCTTTTTATTTTAACTTTTGTTTTGTTTTGTTTTGTTTTGGGGCCACACCTGCAGATGCTCAGAGGTTTCTCCTGGCTCTGCACTCAGGAATCTCTCCTGGCGAGGCTTGGGGGACCATAGGGGATGCCGGGGATCGAGCCCAGGCTGGCTGCGTGCAAGGCAATCGCCCTGCCTAACCTACTACTATCTCTCTGCCCCCAGACGCTCCCTCTTGACCCAACCCCTCCCAGCTGCAGCCCGCAGCGGCGTGGACGGTCCGTTGTGTGTCTCCGTGCGTTCGCCTCCTTGCGAGCTTTGGCATGAACGGAGCGCGTTGTTTGGCTCTGCGTGGGGCTGCTTTCCTCGCACGGGAGGCGTCCTCAGCCGCAGGCACTTGGCGTGTCGCGGTGGTTTTACTGCTTTTCTTGCTCTGCAGCGTTGCAGCGTGTGGATGGTCTCCGAGATGGTTTTCCTGTTCCCTCGCTGAAGGACATTGGGGTTTCCAGTTTGGGGCAGTTACAGAAAAGCCTGCTGTAAACTTTTGTCTGCAGGTCATCGTAGGCACGTCAGCTGTTGTTTCTCCTGAGTAGATGAAAGTGGAAGGAGTGGAAAGACGGATGCACGTGGTTGATGTCGGTTTAATGTGTGAGACATCGCCCCTCTAGGGCCAGGGATACGGCTCAGGGGTAGAGTGCTCGCCTTGCATCTGCGAGGCCTTGGGTTCAAACCCTGGCACCTGCAGGGGTGGGGAGAGAGCAGACGGTTGGCAGGGGCACCGTGCAGTTCCCATGGGCGCTGGGTGGAAAGTAATGGAAGGTCGGGGGTCTCCACATCCTTTCTCTTTTCTTTGGGGGAGCGATAGCACAGCGGGTAGGGCGTTTGCCTTGCACGCGGCCGACATGGCCGACCCGAGTTCGATTCCTCTGCCCCTCTCGGAGAGCCCAGCAAGCTACCGAGAGTATCTCGCCTGCATGGCAGAGCCTGGCAAGCTCCCCGTGGCGTATTCAATATGTCAGACACAGTAACAACAAGTCTCACGATGGAGACGTTACTGGGCCCGCTCGAGCAAATCGATGAACAACAGGAGGACAGTGTTTGTTTTGTTTTTGGAGGGAACGTAGGGCAGCTCCCAGATAGTGCCAGGAGGCCCAGCGACACTTCCCAGCAGTTCTCAGCTGGCCGGTTGAGTTCAGAGCCCAAGAGACGGGGCTAAGGGCGTCCTGGCCACCAGGGTGTACTCAGCAGTGCTCAGGGGACTCTGGTGCCAGGGAGCAGACTGGGGTCAGTCACACGCAAGGCAAGCACTCTCAGTCCTATCTCCCCTCCCCTGTTTGCTCATGTTATAACCTAACAGGAATATGTTATCTTGTTTGGTTCTGATCAGCATATGGGGTGCCCAGGTCGGCCCCTTGCAATTTGGTTTTTTTTTTTTTTTTTTTTTGGTGCCATGTCTGTTCACCTCCTTCTTTTTGTTTTCTTTGGGGCCACACTCAGTGGTGCTCAGGGATCACGCCTGACTCTGTACTCAGGGATCACTCCTGGTGGTGCTTGGGAGACCGTATGTGCTGCCAGGGATCAAACCCGGGCCAGCCACGTGCAGTTCAAGCGTCAACTCCCGGACTATCCAGCTCCCCGTTCAGATTTTTTGCCCCTTTGTATTACGTTGTTTTCTTGTTTTAATTTTCTGAATTCTTTATTCCGGAAACATCTTCTGTCAAATAATATGTCTTTTTTTGAGGGGGGGAGGGTCACACCCAGCGTTGCACAGGGGTTACTCCTGGCTCTGCACTCAGGAATCACTCCTGGCGGTGCTTAGGGGACCATATGGGATGCTGGGAATCGAACCCAGGTCCGCCGCATGCAAGGCAAACGCCCTATCCGCTGTGCTATCGCTCCAGCCCCCAAATAAGATGTCTTACATGTGATCAAGATGTGGCTGGCGTCCTGTCTGCAGTGCCTGTTGCATCCAAAAGCCTCTGGCCTGTGTGTGTGTTGCCTTTGGGGATCTCCCTGTGGTACTGAGGACGCTGCACTCAGGAGTGATTCTGGCGGTACTCAAGTAGCCGTGTAGGGTCTGGCCCAGGTCAACCCTGCACAGTGTTCAGTGTCTCAGGCCCCCAGAGCTTCTCTGGAAGACCTGTGTGCCTGCTAGTTCCATCGTGGAGGATGCTGGAGGGGTTATGACCGAGGACTCCCCGGAGCCTGGGCTCGCAGTGGCATTTCCTGAGCAGTTTTGTAGCTGTGGGTTTGACCGTGGGTGGGTGATGTGTCGTGACCCCCTGGGAGGGCTGTAAAGCACCCCCCCAGGGTTCCAGCCTGAGAAGATGCACTTTCTCTGCAAGTTCCCTCAGCCTTTATCACCGTTGTCGTCAGGCTGTCCCCATTGAGTGCTTTTCCCTGAGAACTGCTCACACCACAGTTTTTCTTGGTGCATCTTTTTTTATTTTTTAATTGAAGACTAGACTTTTTTTTTTTTCTTTTTGGGTTACACCTGGCAATGCACAGGGGTTACTCCTAGGTCTGCACTCAGGAATTACCCCTGGCGGTGCTCAGGGGACCATGTGGGATGTTGGGAATCGAACCCGGGTCGGCAGCGTGCAAGGCAAACGCCCTACCCACAGTGCTCTCTCTCCAGCCCCAAGACTAGACTTTTTAGAGAAAAAGAGAAAAATATCAGCAGCCCTAAGGTCTTATTTTTCTTCTCTGAAGGTCATTCTTACTGCTCCCTACGTGCTCAGTCACCGTCCTTCCAAGCCAGGCGTGACTGTCTGCACGCATGTCTGAGTGGGGGCCGGGACTGTGGCTGGCCGCCCCCACCGCCTCCTGTTGCAGCTCCGCCTGGCAGCTTTGCCAGGCTGGGGCTTCCGGTTCATCTGCTCCTGAATCGGCAGCATTGTGTGCGCTGGGGAGGCCGCAGCTGCTCCCCACCCCCACCCACAGAGCCTTCACCTGGAGCACGGGCACCCCAGGGAGCCCACAGCCAGGCGCTAGCTCCCTCACAGCGGTGGCAGGCACTGGTACAGCTGCTGTCAGATGGGGGGGGGGGGTACTTCGTTTTGTGGCCTTGGAAGGCTGCCTTGGGTGGTCCTGATGCTCAGGCTTCTACTTGTAAAGCAGAAATACCACACAGGCACTGCCTTTCCGGGGGAGGGTCCAAGCCTGGGCCTTTGCTTTACTGCGCTCCTGGGAAGTCCTAATTCTGTTTTCAGTTAACATAGTTAAGAAGCAACTGGGTGTTAGTCTCCTATTTTGTTACTTTATGCTTGGAGACCAGCCACACATGCTAGGGGAAAAGGGAGCTCAGATAGAGAAGGGAGCACCAAATAAAGGGTGTTGGGAGGATCCTCCCAGGATGGGAGAAGCATGCTGAAAGTAGACTATAGACCAAACATGATTGCCACCCATTGCCTCTTTTGCAAACCACAACACCCAATAGGAGAGAGAGAACAAAAGGGAATGCCCTGCCACAGAGGCGGGGTGGGATGGGGGGTGGGTGGGTGGAGAGGGACACTGGGATCTGTCGTGGTGGGAAATGGGCACCGGTGGAGGGATGGGTATTTGATCATTGTGTAATTGAAACCCAAGCACAAAAATTTGTAAGTCTACAACTGTACCTCATGGTGTCTCACTAATAAAAATTAAAAAAAAAAAAAAAGGAAGAAGCAGCAGCAGCAGCAAATGGGGAGAATGGCTACAGCCCTGAGTTACTTTCCGTAAGATGGAGTCAAATCTGAGCTCTCTGAACAGTCTCACCTTACTCAGAATATCTGTGTATTGCAAGAGCCTTCATAGTACGCCCTGACTGGCTTCCACAGCACACCCTCACTGGCTTTCATGGTGCACTCTCTTTCTTGGGCTTTGCATGGCCACACAGGAACTTCATGATGTTAGTATATAATATTTTCCCATTGAAATAAGATTCATGTTTAAATGTGTTGCGTGCCACAGGGATCCTTAGAGACTTTGATGCTCCACTTTTTCTCTTCACAATTTAAAAGCTTGTTAATTGGGAATTTCAGTCTTATTGTTTTTTCCCATGGGTCTTTGGACAGTCACTGGGTGACTTGTTTTTATTTTATTTATTTTTTTAATGTAGGAGTACTGCTGTTTATTCAGCCATCATTTAAACTGATTGAATTGGGCATGAACTCCACATTACCTTTTTTTAAAATTTTTTAATTAAATATGAGGGCTAGAGCGATAGCACAGCAGTAGGGCGTTTGCCTTGCACGCAGCCAACATGGCCGACCCGAGTTCGATTCCTCCACCCCTCTCGGAGAGCCCATCAAGCTAACGAGAGTATCTCGCTCACACGGCAGAGGCTGGCAAGCCACCCGTGATGTATTTGATATGCCAGACACAGTAACAACAAAAGTCTCCAATGGAGATGTAACTGGGCCCGCTCGAGCAAATCGATGAACAACGGGAGGACAGTGACAGTGACAGTGATCCTTGAGATAGACCATAACAAATCTGTTCATAATTGGGTTTCAGTCATACAGTGATCCAGCACCCATCCCTCCACCAGTGTACATTTCCCACCACCAGTGTCCCGTTTCCCTCCCACAATCCCCTAGACCCCCACCCCCAGCCTCTCCCTAGAGGAGGCATTTTCCTTTTTGCTCTCTCCCTTCTTTTCCTTTTGTGCTTTATGGTTTGCAATATAGGTGCTAAAAGATTATGGTGTTTGTTCAGGGCTTTCAGTATTTTGGGGGGACGGTAAGGCTGGAGTCGCTTTTCAATTAGGTGGCCACTTTGGGGTGTGGATGTGACTGCTAAGGCTTCCAGAAGTACAGGGAGGTGGGGGAAGGTAGCCCATTCTGGCGCCGAGAAAGGCTGGTGATTTCAGTCACAAAACCCGCATACCTGAATTTTCAGCAGATTATATCTTGGTGAGGTCTGTCCTGAGACGGTGGATTCAGGCTGGGGGTATGACACAATTTTGGATTGTGGAATCAGGCAGCTGCCGGAGGCTCTGCTTGGGCAGGCACAGGCCAACCCATCCCTCTCCCCCCTCCAATTGACTTGGTCTGTTCAGCCATGCATGGGTCCAAGCTTAACTGCGGCTTTTGATCTCTTCGGAGATTTATTTATGGGTCTCTGAAGCAAGACTGGTAGTAGCGCTTACGGGGTGGTCCTGGAGTTGGTTCATGCGGGTGATTGCCAGTACTTCCAGGAGTACTGGGAGTTGGCTTGTTTTTAATTTATTAAAAAAAAAAAAAAAAACTACCCCGGGTTACTGCTAAGTAGAAAAATCCTTCAAGAAGCCAGGAGCAAGAAAGGGCTGTCCAGTGGCCATGCCGGTGACCGGGCCTGTCCCACACCCGTCCTCCCTCTGGTCCTCCCCTGCAGGTCGCTTCGAGGAGGAGTTTATCAAGATGCGGATGGAGCGGCTGCAGGCCTGGATGACCAGGATGTGTCGCCACCCGGTCATCTCCGAGAGCGAGGTGTTCCAGCAGTTCCTCAACTTCCGGGACGAGAAGGTGGGTCTTGGCCGGGGTCCGTATCCCTCTCTCTCTTTCCGTGGGCTGTTTCTCGTCTCCCCTGAGCCTGTGGGGCGGCACTTATGGGATGGGTTCCCAGGTGGCCCGGGGACAGAGGGGCGTGACGGCTGAGGAATTCTCCCCACGTGCTGTGGAGATGGCCCGCACTGCCCTGGACATGACCCTCACGGAGCTGGGGAAACGAGGCCCGGCTGGTCACAGCTGGGTGGTTTGTCAGGACCCCGAGAGGGCGCCCAGGGCTTTGGGCAGTCTCGTCTTGCACGAGGTCAACCCAGGTTCAGTCCCCGCACCCTGTATGTTCCCCTCAGCCCCACCAGAAATGAACCCGGAGCACAGAGCTGGAGTAAGCCCTGAGCATTGATGGGTCTCCCCACCCACCCACCTCCACCTCCATACTCCTTCCCTTCCTCCCTCCCTCCCCCTGCAAAAAGGGCAAAGACATACTCTCTGTTCCCATGGAAGACACTGCCAGCAGGTCTGGCTCTCCCTGGAGACCATGGGGAAGTGCTCTCTCTGGTACCTTTGGAAATTACTCTCTCCTGATCAACTTTACTAGACGATTTATTGTATCTTTTTATAGTCTGAAGAGGTTTTCTCTATCATCACAAGCACTACGTAGCCTAGAAAACCATCTAAAGATTGACAGCTTTTGTTAGCTCAGGTACCAATAGCAGATATGACTTCTGCTATGTTCCTGGAAAAAGAAAGAGTTACAAAATTATTTTTGTGCTTAATAAAATCACAATATTAGATAACTTGTTGCAGTGTGAAGAGGTTCACTTGCTCAGACCTTTTGGAGAGTCAGAGTGAATGCAATTCAGTCTCTTAGGGATCAGCGGCACAAGTATCTGGGCCTTCCCTTCAGTGCCCCCTCGTGCCCACAGGTGCAGACCCTCCTGACGATTGGAGGTCACCAGGAAGGGAAGTGGGGGCTGTTCTGTGGCCTCTCCCTGTGCCCTGATCTGCCTGTTCTGGGCCTGGCCCTGGCAGCTGATCTCAACACCTTTTGCGGCAGAGATGTGATACTCAGCACGGCTGGTCTCGCAGATGTGGCTGTGGGACCCGGCCCTGCAAATCTTCGTTGCTAATTTGCGGTTACAAAAACTACACAGAAGCCTCCGTATTCCTTTCCTTCCTGGTTCAAATCCCACAGGAATTTAACATGGGCTTCCTTGGTTGACGTGTCAGGAATCGGATGAGCCAATACTCCTAAAGGTTGGGTGGGTTTTTCGGGTCTTGTTCGGTTTTGGAGTTTGAGCCACACCCGCCCGACAGTACATGGCTCACTCCTGACCCTGTGCTCAGGGATCCCTCCTGGCGGGCATGGGGGGCTGTGGGGATCAAACCCACGTCGGCCGTGTGCAAGGAAAGAGCCTGCCCTGCTGTCCTGCCGCCCCACCCCTGAAGTTGCATCCTGTCTAAATATGAAAACTCAAGCTATTGGTATTTTGATATTAAAAAGAGGGGAGGATGGCAAAGAGACAGCTCAAAGGCTGGATATTGCTTCATAGCCCCTTGGCCCCCAGCACTGATGGGTGAGTCCCTAAAACACATAAAAGGGGCTGGCGCGATAGCACAGCGGGTAGGGCGTTTGCCTTTCACACTGCCAACATGGCCGACACAGGTTCGATTCCCAGCATCCCATATGGTCCCCCGAGCACCACCAGGAGCAATTCCTGAGTGCATGAGCCAGGAGTAACCCCTGAGCATCGCTGGGTCTGACCCAAAAAGGAAAAAAAAACCCACATAAAGGAGAGAAGTGAAGAAAGAGATTGCAGGCAGAGCTCTTGGTTGTGTTGGACTGTGCTTTGGGGCAGTTGGGCTTTGCTTTGAGGGAGTTGGGCTATATTTTGGAGAGTTGGGCTGTGCTTTGGGGCTAAGTCGGACTGTACTTTGGGGCAAGTTAGGCTGTGCTTTGAACTCCCTCTGTGATCTTGGCCAGGCGTTTCCCCTGGAGGCCAGTTTTCTCACCTGCTAAGCGGCAGAGTGGCACCGGACAGCTCTCAGAACCTGGATTATGAGCTTAACGGCAGCTGATCTAGATGCACGGCTAGAGAAGTGCTAAAGATTCTACAGTGAAATAATTAGAAATAAGTTGCTAGTAAGGTGTAGCTAGATGTGGGACGTGGAATATTTATGTCGGCGATAAACAGGAAAAGAGAATCTAATCGGTGATTTACAGTGGCGTAAAAAATTTGATCTGAAGGAACAAATACAAGAAAGTATACAAAAGTCGGTATGGAAAATGGGAGTGTTATTGAGAGAATAAAAGAAGCCCCCAAATAGAACTGCTGTTGCTCTGTTTCGTGGAGCTAACAGAAATGATGTTGGATGTAGAAAATTCAAAGAGCTAAAATAGCCGAGATGGGGCTTGGTGACCCTCCCGGGATGCGTAAGGAAGGCCGGGAACTGCTCAGGGGCTTTGCCCACGGCCAGGCGGGGCCCAGGCAGGGTGGACCAGAACAGAAGCAGGGCGGGGCCGCTCGTCCGTGGGCTGTTGAGTGGAAAGTGTTTCCAGGTGGGAGGCGGGAGGTCTGAGAGGATGGTGCCCGGGAGGATGGGGCTCCACGTGGCATCCACCGTGGGCAGCAGTCCAGGGGCTCACACTGCCCCAGGAAGGATGGCAGAGAAGAGAGGAGCTGGGAGGTGACAGGGAGGACAGATAGGACAGGGACAGGGAGGACGGGACAGTGACGCTGCCGGGCGGCTGAATTGTTCTTTGGTGGCGGGGGGAGGGGTCAGGCCTGTCCTATGGAGGGTCCCAGGATAGCACCCAGCCTGTCCTGTGGGGGTCCCAGGAGAGAGCGCCTGGCCTGGCCTGTGGGGGGTCTCAAGAGAGCCCTGCCCGTGGCACGTCTGTCTGCTGTCCATGTGAGCCCATCAGGCGTGGCCTGGGTCTGCAGTGGGCACTGTGTTCTAGCCTGTCCTGGTTCCTGACATGGGGGTCTTTCTCAGAACCCGGGGGCCGTGCTTCACCCGCCGTGGGTGCGGTGGTTGGCACAAGGAGGGGCAACGCGTCCTCAGCTGCCCCGGGAAGGGCCGGGGAGCCTGGCAGCCAGGCCCCTTGCCGTGGCCGAAACTGGGTTGGCGCTGGGGTGGGTGCAGCGTAGGAGCTGTTGGGCGAGCGGGGAGGGCGGGTTGGACTGTGCCCCTTTTGCTCACCCTCGTCTTTCTTTGCAGGAGTGGAAGACGGGCAAGCGGAAGGCTGAGAAGGACGAGCTGGTGGGCGTCATGGTCTTCTCGACCATGGAACCAGAGGCGCCGGACTTGGACTTGATCGAAATGTGAGTGAACAGGCCCAGCCTGGCTCCCTGTATGGGGCGGGGCGGGTCACCTGCTGCAGTCGCAGTGGGACAGGACACAGGGTCCACTGTCCAGGAAAGCCGGAAAGCCACGTGTGCACATGTGTACATGTGTTCGCACATGTTTGTATACATGTATGTTATGCATGTGTGTGTTCATGTCTGCACATGTATGCATGTTTGCATGCATGCGTGTGCGTGCATACGTGTGTGTGTGTGTGTGTGTGTGTGTGTGTGTGTGTGTGTGCACACTCTAGCCCCAGCCTGAACGCTGCTTTCCTTGGCTGGGGTGGTTCCCAGGAGAGGGTGGTGAGCGTCCCAGAGCGACACACCTGAGTGGTCTCCAGAGTGAAAGCTCGCAGCACCTTGAGCAGAGCACCTCTGTTGCTGTGGGGTTGGGGGTTGTTTTTGTTTTGGTGGGGGGGAGGGGGTTGGGCGCCACCCAGCAACGCTCAGAGGTATCTGTGGCTCTGCACTGGGGAATCGCTCCTGGCAGGGCTCGGGACTGATGCCGGGGACTGAAGCCAGGTCAGCCGCGTGCAAGACAAGTGCCTCTCCCCTTCCCACCCCCCGTACTATCTCCTCTGCCCTGGTTTTGTTTTTGATACTGATTTTTATCATGTGATTTTCATATATATATATGTATGTGTATATATATATATATATATATATATATATATATATAGTCTTGGTTGGAAATTTGGAGTGCTTGTAATTTCTATGTAATGACTAATAGAAATTTGGGGGTCTGTTGTTTTATTTTAAAGAGACATTTTTCTTAGCATAAAAATCAATATTTATGTGTTACCAATAACAGCAATGAAAAAAATTTAAAAGGAAGGAAGGACAGAAGATAAAAATACCTAACAGTGGGCAGATAAAAAGATCTCTCCATGCGGAGAGAAAGTCCGTGTTAGTATGTCGGTTACTGTCTACAGAACCATCTTCTGCTCGTATGCATCACGAGCAAGAATTATCCGTTCACACATAAGCAGCTTCACGTTACAGTCTTCCTGCTGTGATCTGGTTTTGTGTTTGGGCGCTGTGTTGGAATGCGTTTCCTGGGTTGCTAAGTGGCTTGCACGAGCCGAGCGCTGCGGCATTCACCAGCTGTACGCAGGCTTATTTCCTGACCAGGCAGGAAGAACTCGAGCGTATTAATGTTGCAGGGGGTTGACGGCGATCCCGTGATCGAGCCTGTCTGAACCATCCTAGAGGTGGTATTTGAGTCACCTTAGAAATACTTTAGGGACTGGAGAGATAGCACAGCGGGCAGGGCGTTTGCCTTGCACACGGCCAACCTGGGTTCAACTCCCAGCATCCCATATGGTCCCCTGAGCACCGCCAGGAGTAACTCCTGAGTGCAGAGCCAGAAGTAACCCCTGTGCATCGTCGGGTGTGACCCAAAAAGCAAAAAAAAAAAAAGAAAGAAATACTTTAGTTGGCATTGACATGGGAGTAGAGGGGAGGCAGCCAAGGTCAGAGCCAGTGGCAGGCGGTAAGGGGCTCTGGACGGCGGATGGAGCCCGTGTCAGGGGTCACGGGCCGTGGCCTGTTTCGGGAAAGCCAGAGCAGGACGCTCGGACCCAGCCCCACGGGGATCCCTCCCCTTCACCCTCCACGCCGTCTCACACCGCCCCACGTGTGTCCTCAGAGAGCAGAAGTGCGACGCTGTGGGCAAGTTCACCAAGGCCATGGACGACGGCGTGAAGGAGCTGCTGACCGTGGGCCAGGAGCACTGGAAGCGCTGCACAGGGCGTAAGTGGGGCGGGACGTCTCCTCTGCCCACGGGCCATGGGGGCAGTGACGGCCACTGCTCCCCAGGGAACCCGCTCCAGCGGCAGCCTTAGCTCACATGCGGCCCCAGGGACCCTCTGAAGTGTCCAGCGAGCTTGTGCAGTCCCAGGGGCTGGGGCTCTGGCACCTCTGGGGACCCCCCTCCCTGTGTAGAACGGCCTTGTGGTCATTCCCCAGCCCACGACCTGACCGTCAGCCTGGGCCCCTTCGGTGCAGAGCTGCTCACTGGACCCAGCCCTGGCTCTCGGGGTGTGGCCAGAAAACCCATCCCAGCCGCCCCTGCGCAGGGGTTACAGGGCCCGCCCCGACTTCGTGCTTGTCCCCCGTCCCCACCCACCCCTGACTGTCTGCTCGTCTCCCCCCTGTCCCCACCTGCCCCCAATTGCCTGCTTCCTTTATTTATTTATTTATTTTTGGTTTTTCGGTTCAGGGGTTTTTGGGGGGAGGGGTGGAGAAGGCAGTGTTTTGGGGCCACACCCAGCTGTGCTCAGGGATCACTCCGGAGCAGCTCTGGGGCCATAAGAGATTCCAGGGATGGAGCCCAGGCCAGCCACCACAAGGCGAGCATCCTGCCCGGAGACTGTCGCTCCAGCCCCACTCACCCCCACTCGGAACCATTATTATCATTAATATACCATTGGCTGAAGCGATAGCACAGCAGGTAGGGCGTTTGCCTTGCACGCAGCCGACCCGGGTTCGACTCCTCCGTCCCTCTCGGAGAACCCGGCAAGCTACCGAGAGTATCCCACCTGCACGGCAGAGTCTGGCAAGCTACCCGTGACATATTCAATATGCCAAAAACAGTAACAATAAGTCTCACAATGGAGACGTTACTGGTGCCTGCTCAAGCAGATCGATTAACAACAGGAGGACATTGCTACAGTGCAATAAACCATTATTATTATTATTAAACCTTTATTAGCAGACCAGGAAGGAGTGTATGTGTGTCCTCTCTCACGGAGGGTGGAAAGAAGTAGTCATGGAAATAAAACATAACGGGAATGACAGGAAACGGAAGGTGGGGCCTGGAGACGGTGCAGGAGGGAGGCACGAGTGTCACCCATGGTGCCCCAATGCCACAGGCAGTCCTAAGTACCCTCAGGGGAAGCCCTGAGGTGGCCAGCGTCCCCTCCAAAAACTAAGGAAGCTGAAGGCGGGAGAGTCCGTACCTGGCAGTGAGCGTGCCGCTGGGGCCTGGGTGTCGGGCCTGAGATCGCAGCGTCCTGCTTGGGCGCGCCTGGCATTGCCTGGTGGTCCAGCCGGCTGACCAACCTTTCACTGCCCTCGAGCTGCTGTGCCAGTGCCCAGCTTCCGGCAGAAACCTCCGGCCTGTGCGGTCAGCAGCCCGGGAGGAGGCGGTTCCTGGCCTGAGGACACGCACCCCGGTGCAGTGCTGGGGAGCACAGTCCACTTGGACACCTCACTCTGCCCTGTTCACCACGCCTTTTTGTTCCGTTATTCTTGTGTGGTTTCTGGAACATTCCGGAAAGCTCTCTAGCCGGGATGGGAAGTGCTCAGGGACGGTCTCCGAGCAGGAGCCCGGGAGAGCCCGCGGCTGCTTGCCTGTGCCGAGGTGTGCGTCTCTGTGACTGTGCTTGGTGGGAGACGCGTCCCTTCCAGAAGACTTAGCCGAAGGTTGGACACAACGGGCCGTTTTTCCTGTTTCTTTTCAGTTGCTTTGTTTTGTTTCGCGTCACACCCAGCAGTGCTCAGGGGTTCCTCCTGGCTCTGCACTCGGGAATCACTCCCGGTGGTGCCGGGGATTGAGCCCAGGCTGGCTGCGTGCAAGGTTGACGCCCTCCCTGCTGTGCTATCGCTCCGGCCCCCGCAAAGAGCCAGTTTCAGAGAGAATCCTTTTCCTGAGAACCACGGGGGGCGACCCTCGGCGTGAGAGCAGCCTGGGAGTGCAGGCTGATCCGGCCTTCCCCGGAGGTGTTGCTTCCTCCTTTCTGCCCGGACAGGCTAACCATGCGCCTCCCCTTCTCTCAGCCTTGCCCAAGGAGTACCAGAAGATCGGGAAGGCCCTGCAGAGCCTGGCCGCCGTGTTCAGCACCAGCGGTTACCAAGGTGCGTCTTTCTCGATTCTCCGGGCCCACAGACCAGGGTGCTTTCCTCTCCTCTCCGCCAAACCCTGGGGTGCAGCCGGTCCAGACTTCCTGTTCCCGTGTCAAACTGCTCTAAGGTCGCAACACGGGAGTCCGTAACCGCCCCCTAGCCCAGAGGGAAGTCTGCACGGTGGGCACAGTGCCTTCTCCTTCCTACACGAGCCGGCATTGCCCCGCTGGCCCGGCAGGGTGGTCAGACTGCCTCTGTCCCTGTGGTGCCCCGTTCCCAGGGAGCTGCCCGCTCCGTGTCCGTCCCTCCTGTGCAGGGACGAGGAATCTGCCCTGGGCTCTCTCGCGGGGCCGTTCTTCACCGCGAGCAGCATCTCGGCTCAGTCTGTCACCCCGACCTGGCACTGCAGGTGACCGGGCCGCAGTGGGGGTGTCGGTCAGAGCTAGGCCTGGAGCCGGGAGTCATGTGCGAGTCCCCCTCAGCCTCGCTGGACGTGGCATCTGGTGCCTCGGCCAGGAGAGGAAACGTGGGATGCAAATCCAGACGGGGTCCCCCAGCCAGCGGCCCCCCCCCCCCACACCACAGGGAATTGGCAGGAGGGGGCAGGCCGAGGCCCGCTCAGCTCTGAGCAGGGGGTCTCCTTCCCCTCACTGAGGTGACTATCTGACCCCAGGTGCCTCAGCCACCGGGGGGACAACTGCTATCAGGGGCCCGGACGATCAGACAGTGGGTAGGGCTCTCACCTTGCACATAGCTCACCCGAGTGCGGTCCAGGCATCCCACAGAGTCCCCCGGGCACCGCCAGGAGTGGTCCCTGAGCACAGAGCCAGGAGTCACTCCTGAGCACCGCCAGGTGTGGCCCCCAAACCAAAGAAGCCACAGCCTGGTCTTGGGCTTGCCGTGGGGTTGTCCCCGTCCTTTGGGGAAGGAGTGGCCCTTGGTGATGGATGGGCAGGAGGCGAGGACAGGCCGGTCATGACTGGGCGGGGCTTGGCAGTGCCCCGGCGGCTTTCTGTAGCGGCGTTACTCACGGGACGGAGGGAGGAGCAGCCGGCCAGCCATCTCTCCCCTGCCCGCCTGACACTGGGTCTTCCCGGCAGCTCCAGGCTGCAGGGAGCACCCAGTAGGGCTGGGACCCTGAGCCCTCTGCCCAGCCCAGGGAAACATATTTTCAAGTCCGTGTCCTGGGATGCCTTTCAGGTGAGACAGACCTCAACGACGCGCTCACTGAGGCGGGGAAGACCTACGAGGAGATCGCGACCCTGGTGGCGGAGCAGGTATGCTGGCCCCGCGTTCCCTGGCCTCGGGAGTCGCCCCCCACGGCCCCTTTCTGTTCCCACCTGCCTCTGTTTCTTGCATTTGGCAACAGTGTTTCTCGGGCTACACTCAGGTGATGGGAAACTTTCCCGAGAACCCTAAGCTGGGATCCGAGGGGGTCTCCCTAGGGCTCTGTGGGGGACCCTGGAGTCCCTCCTACCGTGCAGATGCCGCGCTGTCCGCCCTCGGCTCTGTAGTACGGGACTCCGGGATGAGGGAAGAACCCAAGGCGGGCCATCCAGGCCGGCGGTCAGGAATCCGATCAGCCCATCCTGGGGCATCCCTTAGAGGGGCAAGAGTTTTACGGTATCTGAGGTGATGCCCTTGGAAGGCAGCTATGCTGGCCACTATACTTTGGACAAACCGGCAGGTTACCAAATGTAGGCTGCCCACAGGGCAGAGTCTGGCAAACTCCCCGTGGCGTACCCAATATGCCAAATACCAGTAACAATGATGGTTCTCATTCTCCTAAAGAGCCTTGAATATAATCTCAGGGCTAGGATGAAGGAGACGTTACTGGGGCCTGCTCGAGGCAATCGACGAATAACAGGATGATGAAATGAAAATGAAATGAGGCAATGCCCTTAGAGGGATCGGCCCCCTCCTAGGACCTGGGCTGGGAAACCGCTACTGCACCAGCCCCCAGGTGGATCCTTTGTCGGGCCTGGAGCCCACACCCGATTCTCTTCGGGCGACAGTAGCTCCCTGGCGGAGCCGGGAGCTGTTCTGCTCTCGGCCCTTAGGCCTGTTCCGGTGGGGTTTGTCTGTTTGTTTGGGGGCCATATCCGGTCATGTTCAGGGACTGCTGAGCACTGATATCCCCGCCCTGTGCTCAGGGATCCCTCGTGACAGCAATCAGGAGACTATACGGGGTGCCTGGGCCTGAACCCCGGTCCGCCCTGTGCAAGGCAGACATCTGGTTCACTGTATACTACCGCTCCAGCCCCTGGAAGCCCAGAATTTTTCATTTTTAATTTTTTCAGATACTACTCTTGAGTGCTTCTGCACAGGAGTGAGTGCAAACACTCGCATGGCCATCGCTTCGATGGTCATTGGAAACGATGGCCTAGGGGCTGAGAGGTGGCCGGCAGGCGGGAGGCCCGGTGTGGGGGCCGGAGCTGGGATCGGCCTCTGTGGGGTGTATACGAACATGCCTGCTTTCAGAGCTGCCAAAACTAAACTCAGGAAACCGGAGAGGTGCAGGCCGGTAGGTTTCTGCGCGCAACCATGACCAGTGTTTTACGGTATCTGAGGCGAGGCATTGAATGCCAGCATCTGGTGTGAGCCCCAAGTACCTGCATGTTTCATCGGCCCACCCAAAGCGGTGACAAGTTGGCACTCAGACTTTACAGCACCCCCGGAGAGTGGGAGGCTGCAGGGGTATGCCCTGGCCTAAAGCCAGGCCGATTGCCCAGACTGCAGGGGTATGCTCTGGCCGGAAGGAAGCCAGGCCAAGTGCCCACGTCTCCCCCGGAATGCGTTTTTCTCATGGCTGGGCTCAGGGCAGTCTCGGATATTTTCACACTTTTGTTTCTCTTCGTTGTCTGAGTGAGTCCCCCTGCCACTCACAGCCGCCCCCTCTCTTGTCGTAGCCCAAGAAAGATCTGCACTTCCTGATGGAGTGTAACCACGAGTACAAGGGCTTCCTCGGCTGCTTCCCGGACATCATCGGCACTCACAAGGTAACACGCCCCGGGAGGTCACTGAAGGCCTGTGGGCGGGCGGGACGGAGCCCCCAGAGCTGGACTCGTCGGGCGCCCCTTCACAGTCGGCTGGGAACAACTTTCAGACTCTTCGAGCCAGGGCTGTGCCTCTTGGCCCAGTGACGCTGGGAGAGGGTTGCGTTTGTTCTTTCAGGGAGGGGGGTTGAGGCCACGCCCAGCAGTGCTTAAGGGGCTTCCCTGGGCTCTGTGCTCGAGACTCACACCCAGTGGGGCTCAGGGGACTGTGCGGGCCGAGGTCTGGCACCCCGGCCTCTCACACGTGACGCCCATGCTTCAGGCTCTCAGCTCTCTCCAGTCTAGTCAGGCAGCCGTGTCGTGTGACCCAACAGCCTCTTCGCTCCTCTGACTGCAGCAAGTTCCATGTCGGTGTTTCCGGCGTTCTTTCACTAGGGGAGCGTTTCCTTGTTCAGTGGCACCCCTGCTGCAGAGTATGTTCGCATTGTTTGCTTTTAAGCTGACAGCCGAGGGCCGGAGAGATAATCCAGTGGGGGAGAGGCTTGCCTTGCACACGGCCAGCCCAGGTTCAATCCCCGGCACCTCTGAGCCCACCAGGAGTGATCCCTGAGTGCAGAGCCAGGAATCAGCCCCGGGCATCACTGGCTGTGGCCCAGGAACCAAACATAAACAAAGAAAAATAAACTAACGATTGATCCTTCTAGCTGGGCTTAGTCTCACTGTATGTCCCACTTCACAGGGAGCAATCGAGAAGGTGAAGGAAAGTGATAAGCTGGTGGCCACGAGTAAGATCACCCCGCAGGAGAAGCAGCACATGGTGAAGCGCGTGGGCACCATGTCCTACGCACTGCAGGGTGAGCGCCGCGGCTCTGTGGCGGCAGGGCTGGGCTGTCCTGGTGGGACGGGGTGCCGTGAGAGCGGGCCGTGGCCAGAGCAGCTGGAGGAGCACGAGGTCATGGACGTTGGCCGCTCACTTGCTCGGGCCCCTTTCCCGGGACCCAGCCGTCCCTGTGTCAGTGTGACCCATCCTGTGCACGCATGGAGACCTCCCTGCAGTGCCATGGGGTCCCGGCATCGAGAGCTGCCCAGTTGGCGCACAGCCTTGGGGCAGGATGTGGCTGCCGGCAGAGTCGCCCGGTGGACAGGTTCCGTTGCCATCTAGAAAGTGGCCCTTGGGGCTGGAGTGATAGCACAGTGGGAAGGGCATTTGCCTTGCACACAGCCGACCTGGGTTCAATTCCCAGCATTCCACATGGTCCCCCAAATACCGCCAGGAGCAACTCCTGAGTGCATGAGCCAGGAGTAACCCCTGTGCATCACCGGGTGTGACCCAAACAGCAAAAACAAATACTGTCAAACACTGTCCTCCCATTGTTCATCGATTTGCGCGAGCGGGCCCAGTAACGTCTCCATTGTGAGACTTCTTGTTACTGTGTTTGGCATATTGAATACTCAAGTCAGCTTGCCAGACTCTCCGAGAGGGGCGGAGGAATCGAACCTGGCTCGGCCGGGCTGGCTGTGCGCAAGGCAAACGCCCTTCCGCTGTGCTATCAAAAGCAAAAAAAAAAAAAAGAAAGAAAGTGACCCTTTACTCTGGGCATCAGTCGCTCTGATGAAAGCCTCTCAACGGCCGGTCCATACTGGGCAGAGACGCAAGGGCTGACCCGGGGTCTCCGCCCGGCGCCTAATTGGTGTCTTGGTTTGGGTTGTAGCCGAGATGAACCACTTCCACAGCAACCGAATCTACGACTACAACAGCGTCATCCGCCTCTACCTGGAGCAGCAGGTGCACTTCTACGAGACGGTGAGTGTGGGGCCGGCCAGCCTCACCCACAGGAGGGCCCGGGGGTGGGAACGGGAGCCGCGTGGTTTGACCGAGACACTTGTCTTGCGGGCTGTTTGGTTTGGTGGCCACACCGGGCAGTGCTCGGGCTTATTCCTGGCTCTGTGCTCAGGGGCCCTCGGAGATGCCGGGGATCCGTCCTGGGTCAGCCACGTGCTGGCCAGCCCCTCCACACTGCAGCGCTGCCCCAGCCCTGGCTCAGACTAGAGCTCTTGCGTGTGCCTGTCTCCTCCTCTCAAAGCCCCTGAGTTCTCAGGAAGGAGTGCAGGGGCGAGTGCTGTGGCTCCCAGGCTCCTGCCCCGCTCGGAGATGTTGGGCACAAGATGACCTCGTGCTGCCTGGGGCCTCCAGCTGGGAGAGCCTGGCACGATGGGGAGCCCCACCCCCAGTCTCTGTGGGAGCGAGGGCTCACAGGCCGCAGCGGAGTCTCAGGGAGAGACGAAAATACGTCCCGGGCCCCGTAGCAGTCTCCAGAAAGTTCCCAGGGTCCGCTTCCCTCCATGCAGCGGGGCCCTGCTGGGGCCAGCCCATCCCAGACTCGCATGAGCCCTGCCGTCGGCACCCATGTCGTGGCAAGCTCTGTGCCCTGACAGGCATCCGCTCACGCATACCCAGGGACAGTTGGGCACTTGTGGCCACACAGAGATGGGCGCCGTGTCCGAGACAAGTTTCCTGCAGAGCTCCACAAGACAGTGTCCCCGGTGGGCTCTGGGCTTCTGGGCCCCCTGATGTCCACCATCGCTGCTGCCGTCTGGTGGCCTTGTGGGGCCCTTCAGAACTGCAGGTCACACTAGTTCTCTGAGGCCGAAATCGGGGGCCGACTCGGAAATGTTGCTCGGGCACAGTGAGGCCTGCGCGTGGGTGACTGCATCCTTGGGGGCGGGGGCCGGAGCCTTGGGAGGCGCAGCTGGGAGCGCCCTGGCGTGGGACGGCCCCTGGGCTCACAGTGTTCACGCTCTTGCCCGCAGATCGCGGAGAAGCTGAGGCAGGCCCTCGGCCGCTTCCCGGTGATGTAAGGGGGAGGCCAGAGGGCGCCCTCGGACCCGGGGCCACTCAGCCCGTCTCCATGAAGAACAGCAGAGCCGCCCGCGGGGATGGCCCACATCTGCCTCTGCTCTCGGGGCCTCAGCGCGGACAGAGGAGGGAGGTCGGTCTGTTCCCGTCTGTCGTCGGAGCCAACAGAAACGGTCTATTTTTGGAAAGTCCTTCACATGACCCAAATTCTGCGTGGAAAATTAGGGGTTCCCCCCACTGATATTTTACATAAATCGGTAATTTATACGTTACCCCCGATCTCCCAGTTCTTACCCAATGTCAGATAGTTACTAATTGCTTTGTTAAAGGTATGAACTCTCCCAGCATAAGCAACTGCGTATGTTTGTATATTTTTATAACTTCTGCAGCCCGTTGGGCTGCCTGTTGGCCAGGAGCGCCTGCCCGCCCGGCCCTGGCACATCTCTGACACAAGTGCTTACAGACGTCTGGGGCCCAGGAACCGGGGGCCTCCGGCGTGCACCCCGAGCTGAGATGCGGTGACCAGGTCTCCGGGCCCATAACCTGGGGTTAACTCTGTCACCCTGCTTGGTGCCTGAGGAAGATGAAGCCCCTCAGGATTGTGGCCTCTCCCGGGCACCCAGACGCCCCTGCGCCTCCCCTGTTCCCTGGTCTTGGGCACCCACACTCTCTCAGCACTCGGACCCGGGAACCGCACAAGGGCGTGATGCCAGTGCCCCGGGTTTGCAGGGTGCTGGGCAGTCCTCGCTCACCCTGGGGCTGCCCCTCCTGTCCTCGCTCAGTGGGCAGCTCTGGGCAGCTGTGTGGGGCCGCCTGACTGGGCAGGGCCCAGCTGTTCTTGAAGGCAGAGCGCAGCAGCGAGTACCTCGGTGAGTGCCTCAGGAGTACTCTAGTGAGTACCTCGGTGAGTGCCTCAGTGAGTACCGCAGTATCTCTGTGAGTGCCTCCGTGAGTACCTTAGTACCTCAGTGAGTGCTTCAGTGAGTACCTTAGTGAGTGCCTCAGTGCCTCCGTGAGTACGTCAGTGAGTTCCTCAGTGAGCGCCCCAGCAAGTGCCTCAATGAGTACTTTTTTGAGTGCCTCTAGGAGTGCTTCAGTAAGTACCTCAGAGAGAGCTTCAACGAGTTCTTCAGTACTTGAGGGAGTACTTCTGGGAGTGGCACAAAGCGAAAGCGAGTCCTGACCTGCCCTGTCAGCTTTGCAGCGGCCCCCACAGACCGCGTCGGCCCGTCTCCCTCCCTCCTCCGCAGCGGCCTTAAACTCCTCTCACTGCTTGCCACCGAAGAACTACATTCTAGAAACTGGGAAGTTTGGGCCAGCACCAATAAAATGAAACCAAAAAAAAACAGGAAATCAAATGAAAATGAGAACATCCTGTTCTTCACTCTCACGGGTTTTTGTTAATGTTTTATAAGTAATTTTCCCTACTTGATTTTTCTTTTATAAAAATCTCATAGAAAGTGTTTATGATACAGCCATTTAATATATGTACAAATTGTAAAGAATATGTATAAATGTTTTACACAAATATAAGCATGGAGAAGCCAACATATAAATAAATTGTTTAAAAAAAAACTGTACAGTAAATTCTCAAAGCACTTTTTCAAAACACTTCTCGGTGTTTTTGTGTGATTTTTTTTTTTGGACCATTGTTTCTTACTGCCAGCTGCTGAAAATAAATAATAAAATATCCCCCAAATTCAACCTCTGGGGGTCCGGAGTGATAGCACAGCGTGTAGGGCATTTTTTTTTTTTTTAGAAAACAAAGTACAAACTTTATTTTGTTTCTTTATAAAGGCACGGTGGCCTCTTGGTTCCCCCCCACACACACTTTCTTAACAAAATATAATAGCTTCTCCTTGAACACAAAGACCTCAAAAAACTGTAAAAAAAAATTGTCTTAAAGTAACAAAACCAAAACAAAAATTGGGGGAAAAAAACAACAAAACAAAAAGAGAGAGAGACAGACATCTGGGGGCTGAGGGGGGTAGGGCATTTATTTGCCTTGCACACAGCTGACCCAGATTCAATCCCCGGCACCCCATATTGTCCCCAAGCCCCCCAGGAGTGAACCCCGAATGCAGAGCCAGGAGTAAAACCGAAGCATTGCTGAATGCGGCCAAAACCCAAAGCCAACAAAAACTCTCGCTGTGCTGCCAGGAATCAGGCTAGTTCCTCACCCCGGGTTGCAGTCCTGGAGGGCTGTCAGAATTATCCAGAGTGGGGGCTGGGAGGGAGCTCGCCTGGCACTTGGCCGACCCTGGTACCCCCACAGACCCCCTGAGCACAGTGGGGTGTGGCCCCCAAAAGACAGAACTCAGGCAGAGAGCAGGTTCTGAGGCAGGGCCCTGTGACTCGGTTTCTCTAGAGAGACAGCTCACGGCTGGGATGGGTACCCCGGGTCTCAGGGCTGCTGTTAGAGTCCTGCAGGGGCTGGGATAGAGCTCAAGTAGCACACGCGCCCGGGTGCTGAGCCCCGAGTTTTCACCCCAACAGCACCACCAGGGGTCCGGCCTTCCCCGCGCAGCCGTCCCGCCTCTCCATGTCCCCACTGGTATCTGCACCACCCTCTCCCTCTGCCCGTCCCAAGCTCCACAGCCGCCCTTGACCTTTCTCCAGGTCACTCGGCCATGGTCTTGACATCTGGGTCTCGGACCTTCATCACTGGACACAGTGCTGCTGTTAATCAGGGAGTCAGGGCCGGCCACCCCAGAAGGCCCCCGAGCTCCCTTCTCTGCTTGTTGGTCCAGCAAGGCTGGGACACATCCATATCATTTTGTGCCATTGTGTTTCCTGACAGGCCACACGACGGCCTATGGGTCCCGGGGTGATGGGGAGGGCCCCCTCCTGCCCTCCTGGTCCCCTGCTCTGTGACTCCCACCTCGTAACTGCCCAGACAGTGACTGAGAGCTGCCCTGTGGCCTGCAGAACCTGCCAGCCCCACGCTTGGTCAGACCAGGGTCCCATGTCGGCCCGTGATCACCGAGGACTAGACAGTTCAGTGTCACATCATGTGCCTGGCCAGGTGTCCCCGAGCAGGTGGTATAGTGAGGAAACCACTTCTGGCTGTTCTCACTTTCTGTGGAACCAGGATGGCCGCAGAGCCGCCTGGGCCTTGGGAATGCCATCAGCGGAGAGGTTCGAGGCGAGCGACAGACCTGTGACAGACTCACAGTACAGACAAGTGAATGTGCCGGGCAAAGGCTGAGGGCTGGGGGCGTCTCACAGGCCCCCCGGTGTCTTGGCTCCCCACACTGGCTGTAGCTGCAGGACCGTGTCCAGCCTGTTGTGTGTGACCCTGTCACCCATCACCCGCGCGTCCTCCTATGAGGGAAGAGTCTCAGCCCAAGAGAAAGCAGACCCAAACAGAGAGAGGGTGAGAGAAGGCTCCGGGCCGGCGAGGCCTCCCCAGACAGCTGCAGCTCCAGGCACAGTCGCCGGCGTCCTCACTTGTTCCCAGACCGGCCCGCCAGCCTGCCTGTGGTGACAGCGCTGACATCTTCCCACCCTGACAGCCCGTTTCTCCCTACGTGTCTGAGGCGCCCTCATTCGGCTGTGCCTCTGACCACCAGCACTTCTCCAAACACCCCAGAACTCGCCACAGGGCCCCACGGGGCTGTCAGCTCTGGGGAAACAGACCATGAGGGGCCAGAGGGACAGGGGGACAGGAGACCTGCTCTGTGTCCTGGCGCCCTGTGGAGGGCCAGGGAATGAAGGCTGGAGAATGAAGACTTGTTATTTGGGGGCCACACCTCGCAATGCTCAGTGGTTACTCCTGGCCCTGCTCCTGGTGGTGCTCAGGGACCGTGTGGGATGCCAGGGATCAAACCCGGGTCGACTGCATGCAAGGTAAGCGCCTTTTTTACTGTACTATCACTCTGTTCCCTCACGCATCTCTTTTTTTTTTATTTCAATTACTTTTAATGAGTGTGTTTGCAGTTTTTTTTATTTTTTGGTTTTTTTTTTTTTTAGTGAGACATCATGAGGTACAGTTGCAGACTTAGAAATTTTTGTGCTTGGGTCTCAACCATACAATGGTCAAATACCCATCCCTCCACCAGTGCCCATTTCCCAACACCACGGGTCGCAGTATCCCTCCCACTCCCAATCCCCCACATCCTATCCTGCCTCTGTGGCAGGGCATTCCCTTTTGTTCTCTCTCTCCTTTGGGGTGTTGTGGTCTGCAAAAGAGGCATTGAGTGGCAATCACGTTCGGTCTATAGTCTACTTTCAACATGCATCTCCCATCCTGGAAGGATCCTCCAAACACCCTTTATTTGGTGCTCCCTTCTCTATCTGAGCTGCCCTTTCCCCTGGCATGTCACACGTCTCTTTTAAGGCCAAAATACACAGAAATGTCGTTATAGTAAAATCTGCACCACCCTTGATTCAAATGTAATTGGGGAGGGGGTGCTGAAGGGGGTATGGACAAGCCGCAGGAGACCCTACCCTTCGCTCCTCTGTCCCGGGACCCCAGGCTGGTCTCTGCACAGACTGTGTCTGTTTCAGCTGCTGTGACTCTCCCATTTTGTGGTTCCCGTAGCCGCCTGTTTAATCAGTGGCAGCAGAAGTCTTCCTCCTGGGACGCCAGCCTCTGACCCCGCTCCCTGCTGTCCACCCCCTCCACCCCCAGCCCCGTCCCGAGAAGCATGTCCCAGGGCACCGTGACGGCTCAGCCTGTTCCTGGCACTGAACCTCAGGTGCCCCCCACTGTGCGATGGTCCCTCAGGCGGCTGGGTGCAGGAGGTGATCTCTCGGCCTCCTGAAGTCCAAGGGCAGAGCTGCCACGGGCAGATGGTTACAGACCTGGGTCTCCCTCGGAGCCAACCCCAAATCACGCCTGTCCTCCTCACTTCCCAAGATTGGAAACTAAGGAGAAACTAAGTGATGTGGAAAATGAAAACCAATGCTCTCTTTGTGAGGCCGCATTAAAGCCCAGGCACATCAGGAGTGATTCCTGAGCACAGAGACGGGAGTAACCCCTAGCAACGCCAGGTAAGGCCCAAACCCCACCCTGCACCCTCAGCACCCCCCCCCCAAAAAAAAACAAAAAACCCATTTGGGACACCCAACCCTATTCTGCCCGAGATTCTCTGGCGAAAAGGTGTCAGGGGCTTTTCAAGAAGGATGTACCTTTCTTTATTAAAAGGGACAGACAGGGAGGTGGGAGGAACACTGGGATCATCAGTGGTGGAGAATGGGCACTGGTGGAGGGATGGGTACTCGAACATTGTATGACTGAAACACAGGCATGAAAGTTTGTGAGTCTGTAACTGTACCTGACAGTGATTCACTAATAAAAAAAATTAAAAATAAATAAATAAAACTGAATGCAGGACACTAAATTTGTTATATAAAATAAATCAATGTGAACAGTGTCCAAATTTTCAGAGAAACTGTCTCTTCATAGGTATCCTTAAAATATGTATGAATAAAAGTTTTTAATTATTATAGTCATAAATAAAAGGTCTGAACATAAGTGCTACATGAAAAAAATTTTTTTAATATATAAAAGGGACAGACATAGTTGATGTGAATTCCTATGTTCATTCTACCTTGATCGTCAGATGTGATGCCTGGAGCTATCGCAGCCCTATTGTGATCATGAGATAAAACATCTGACTAGTTCAGGGCCAGGAGAATAGCACAGCTGGTAGGGTACTTGTCCTGCATGCCGCCAACCAGGGTTCTGTCCCCAGCACCACATATGGTCCCCCAAGTCCCACCAGGAGTGGCCCCTGAGTATAGCCAAATGTGGCTCCCTAATCAAAAAACAAACAGACCAGGAGGTTGGAGCCATAGCACAGCAGGTAGGGCGTTTGCCTTGCACACAGCTGACCTCAGTTCAATTCCCAGCATCCCATATGGTCCCCCGAGCACCGTCAGGAGTAATTCCTGAGTGCAGAGCCAGGAGTAACCCCTGAGTTTCGCCCGGTGTGACTCAAAAAGCAAAATAATAATAATAATAATAATTAAAAAAAAAACACCAGCTAAAGATGAGGCAACTGAAGGGAAGAGTTTGCCTGTCTGGAAAGACATTGCTGACCGGATCCCCCGGCTTGAGGGGGCTTACTCTCGGGCTCATGTCAATCTTTGATCTCTGCGTTTTCTTTCTCCTCCAGGCCAATTCCAAAGTGCCCCTGACTCAGGGGCTTGGAGACATTCTTACTGGAAGATGTAAAAAATTAATGTGTTCAGAAGCGAATCAGCAGTTTCACTTTTCAAAAGTAACCGTGTGAGGAAGCAGAATTGAAGAGCAAAGGGTTAACAACTTGGCTTCAGTCCTTTTTCAACAACAAAGAGCCAAGTAGAAAGCCTCGTTTATTTTCTGTGTATATTTTAGTGTCCACTTAGTTTTTGCTTTCATTCCATTCATGGTTTATATCTTGCGAGTTTTCAAACCTACAGATGGAAACAGAAGTTCTTCCTCTCGCCACACTAGACGGCTGACCACCATCCGCCAACCCCCGTGCTGGGCGCTGACCCTGTGTCAAGCACCCTTGGACCCCCACAGCCCTGCGACTGCTAGGAAGGTGGAGGCCACGCATCCCCTTGCAGCCCTCCCTGTGTCTTCCAGACCCCGTAATTGCCACATGGAATTTTCTCTCTCT